CTAGAATTTATTACAGATTCGAATCTGGGCTCAAACCTTGGCTGACACAGCAGCCGGCGAACACCCAGGTGAGAGCCCCGATGGAGGGGCAGTCCCTCCAGAGCGCTCACACAAAAACACAGACAAACACACACCTACCGCGGCCAGTCAGGCTCTCCGGACCGGGGTCCCTCATGGTCCTGGCTGGGGATTCCAGTCATGATCCCCAAGGACCACCAGGGAGCCGAGTCCGATGCAATAAACAAAAGAGCCATCTCCATGCTAGCATAGGCTCCTACCACTCACGCCGGCAGCATGGCGGAAGAGAGCGAATATCGCCCAGTCCAGGGGGTTTTACTCGGGTTGGTGGTGATGTCACTGCCTCAGCTAACCCTGATTGGCCCCTCAGGACAAAGAATTGGCCAGTTATCTGTTCCTAAATCCTAAAGACTAAATTATAAAGACTGGGGACAGCCGGCAGGGTCGGTTCCCAGTCACACCCTGCTTGACATTGGAATGTGGCCCTATCTTGCCCGTAATACAAAAGCAGAACTAAAGGTTATCTACAGTTTCTACCCCTGAAGCTACTGAGTCAGTGGGAGTCAATCTCCTGTAACTACCCTCGAAGTCAGATAGCAAGGTTAAAATTCAAACAGCAGTTTTTACCCAAGTATGATTTCCACCATATTTCACCACCCACCACTGACAACACAGCGCATTTATTGACTTCCAAAGAGGGGGTTAAGGTCAAAGAAGTTTGGGTCCTATTCATTCCTTATTCCTGGGATTCAGCATATCACAACCTGGGTAAGTCAAGGTCCTATCGTTCCCAGCGGATAAAGATAAATCAGTACTGATAACAGTCTCCCACATTTGGGGAAACATGTTCCCAGGGCGTGACTCTGCCTGTCCTTGAGTTCAGCCGATGATAATTAGAGGTCATCCATGTGCATTCCCAGGGGGCCCTCTACGGCAGAGGACTGAGCCCACACTCGCGCTCCTGGAGACCCCAGGTCAGTCCGTTGGCGCTGGCGCTCGTTAAAGGGTCATGGGAGCTGAGAGGACACGTTTCAGAGAAGGAAGGAATGACGCTGTCCTGGGTCGTTGCCTTAGTGCAAGACACATGGGAGTCCCCGCCGCCGTGCGAGGGGACAGAGGGCCGGCTCCCCTAGGGGCCCTCTCCGCTGGTGGTGTGGGCTGCAGGGCACGTCTTCTCATAGAGGACGGCGTGGAAAGAGAGGGCCTCTCCCTCCCCCCCTTCCCTTCCCTCTCCCCTCCCCATCTCCTTCTCCTCCCTCTCCTTCCTCTCCTTCTCTCCCCCTCCCCCACTCCCCCTCCCCTGCCTCCCCCTCCCCTCTCCCTCTCCCTTTTCCCCCCTCCCCTTTCCTCTCCCCTCTCCTTCTCCCTCTCTCCTCTCCCTCTTCTTCTCTCCCTCTCCCTTTTCCCTCCTCCCCTTTCCCTCTCCCCTCTTCTCCCTCTCTCCTCTCCCTCTTGTTCTCTCCCCCTCCCTCTCCCTCTCCCTCTCCCTCCCTCCCCTTCCCACACTGTCTCCCCCTCCCCTCTCTCCCCTCTCCCCTGCCCCATCTCCCTCTTTCTCCCTCTCCCCCTCTCCCCCTTCCCCTTCCCCCTTCCCCTCTCCTCCTTTTTCTTTCCTCCTCCCTCTCCCTCCCCTTCCATTCCCATTCTCTCCACCTCCCCTCTCCCTCTCCCTCTCCCTCCCCTTCCCTTCCCACACTGTTCCCCCTTCCCCCTCTCTCCTGCCCCATCTCCCTCTCTCTCTTCCTCTCCCCCTCTCCTCTCCCCCTTCCCCTTTCCCCTTCCCCTCTCCTCCTTCCCCTTTCCCCCTCCCCTCTCCCTCCCCTTCCATTCCCACTCTCTCTCCCCCTCCCCCTCCCTCTCCCTCTCTCTCTCTCTCCCTGAAATCAATAAAGATATATTTTTTTAAAAAGAGAGCAAAAATAAAAGTAAAAAATAAACCATGATGTGTATTGTGCACAGTGAGGGTGCTTAGGGCAGCAGTCTTCAACCGGTGTGCCATGAGGAATTTTTTAAATTTCCCACTTATTTTTTTAAATATGTTTTATTGATTTCAGAGAGGAAAGAGAGGGAGGGATGGAAACATCAATGATGAGAGAGAACCACTGATCAGCTGCCTCCTGCACGCCTCCTACTGGGGATCCAGCCCACAACCTAGGCATGTGCCCTTGACCAGGATCAAACTAGGACCCCTTAGTTCTTGGATCAACGGTCAACCACTGAGCCACACTGTCCAGGCTCATGCGAATCTTTCACAGCAACCCTCCAGGGCTGAGTTTTTATTATCTCCACTTTTCAATGAGGAAATGGAGGCTCAGAGAAGCCGAGGAACTAACCCAAAGTTACTAGGTGTACTGGTTAGTAATGGTGGATTTTGCAATCAAATAAAACAATCATTTCAGGAGAAACATCAAAAGTGCTTTATTCAAAGTAATGTCAATCGCTAGCTACACATTTCCCCCATATTCCAGGTAATCTGTGGATACCGTCCCAATAGAACTTTACTTGTTTTGAGGCAAACCATTCAGAGACCCAATTTTCCACTTCTTTGTACATTTTGAAGTGCTGCTCAGAAAGTGTGTGTGTCATCAGTCAGAACATGGTAATCTGAAGGAGCAAGGTCTGGTGAATACCGAGAGTGGGTTAATACTTCCTAGACAAGATCTGTTAACGTGTCTTTAACTGGTTTTGAAGTGTATGATGGTGTGTCATCATGAAGCAAATTTATTTTGCCGTGTCTTCTGGCTCATTCTGGTCGTTTCAGGATTGAAGTGTGGTTTAAATTGATTATTTGTTGTCAGTAGCAATCAGTATTAATGGTGTCACTTGATTTTAAAAAAATAAAAAATGGATGTTGTTTAGCAAAGACCTAGGAGGTGTGTTCAGTCAAGTCATCCAGGACAAGTCAGTAGTAGTGCATACTGTTAACAAAAAAACCATTGAAACCTATAAAAAATTTTTGTGAGTTTAGCCAAGACTGGTTTAGCTCAATGGATAGAGCATCGGCTTGGGGACTGAAAGGTCCCGGGTTTGATTCCGGTCAAGGGCATGTACCTTGGTTGCGGGCATATCCCCGGTGGGGGGTGTGCAGGAGGCAGCTGATCGGTGTTTCTCTCTCATCGATGCTTCTAGCTATCTATCCCTCTCCTTTCCTCTCTGTGAAAAATCAATAAAATATATTTAAAAACAAAAACAAAAATATACATGTACACACACACACACACACACACCCCGTGTGTGTGTGTGTGTGTGTGTGTGTGTATATATATAAACATATGTGTAACTCCAGCTATTGAAAAAAATCTGCATTATTAGCTGGTACACCTGGTACACAGCAATTAAGTGATAAACCGGGGACTCCCAAGTCACTACCCTCACAATGGGAGGGAGTTATCTTTTTGCCAACCTGTTTCCTCACCCTTTCCCCTCCCTCCTTGCTCTTACCCTCTGCGTGGTGAGCTTGCATCATTACTCTGGCCCAGAGGCCCAATTAGGGGCTCTCCCCAAGGGAACTGGCTAAAGCAAGAGGGCCTCCCTGAGTTCAGGTCTTAATCAGCCATCACTGCTCTTCCCTACACTCTGACCTGCCCAGGGCGACACCTGCCAGGCTAGCTCGTGGCAGGAGGCGGGACTGGTACCCAACCCAACCGTACAGCCGCAGCCACCCCGCACAGCACGGGAGGCTGTGCCTGGCCCTGCCCACCCCGCTCCCTGGCCCACTGCTGGGGGGATTTTTACAACAGGCAGTGCCTGTCTGTGTAGCCAGGGCCACTGACCTCTTTTCCCTTCGATTGTCAAATTTAAAAAATGTTAACAGCCAACACACCAAGAGCTGTCTTGTATGAACGAATCAAAATTAAGCCTTTTTTGGGTCAGATCGGAAAAAAAAGATGTATTTTTGGTGTGCTGCAGAATGTTAGTAATTACCGTATTTTTTGGACCATAAGACGCACCGGACCATAAGACGCACCAGTTTTTAGAGAAGGGAAATGAAGAAAAAAAGATTCTGAAACAAATAGTGTCCTAAAATATTTTATGTGCATTAAAACCCAACATCGCAGTCATAAACACATGTAATCAACCCTGTAAAGTAAACAGCAGCATTTAGAACCATTTTAGAGCCGGGCAAGCACACGGAGACCACACAGAGCCGGGCAAGTAAAAAAACTTTTTTTTTAAAAAGTATATGTGTAGGCTATATTTGGACCATAAGATGCAGGGACTTTTTCCTCCCACTTCTGGGGGGAAAAAAGTGCGTCTTATGGTCCGAAAAATATGGTAGTTTATGTGCCATGAGATGGAAAAGGTTGAAAATCGCTGCCTCCATGTCTGGAGTGTAGAATTTGGTGGTTCGCTGGACATTTGTGTTCCAAGGAGCCCAGTTTGGGAAGCCTGAGTTTATCGGGCAAGGCCGGTGGCGGTGGTGCCTTCCGTGACCGACACTTTCCCGCAGGCCCAGCGGAGCCCCGGGATTCCTGAGGAAACCGTGACATGAAACTCCGCAGAGGTGGGTAGTCTCTCCTTTTGGTTTTTATTTATTTTTGTTTTTCATTTATTTTTATTGATTTCATAGAAGAAGGGAAAGGGACAGAGTGATAAAATCATCCATGTTGAGAGAGAATAATTGATTAGCTCCTCCGGCACACCCCCTACTGGGGGTCAAGCGCAACTGGGCATGTGCGCTGATGGGGAATTGAACTGTGACCTCCTGGTTCATAGGTTAACACTCAACCACTGAGCCAGGCTGGCCGGGCTGTTTGTTTCTATTTTATTTATTTTAAAAAATATATTTTTTATTGATTTTTCACAGAGAGGAAGGGAGAGGGATAGAGAGCTAAATACATTGATGAGAGAGAAACATCGATCAGCTGCCTTCTACACACTTCCCATTGGGGATGTGTCCTCAACCAAGGCACAGGACCCCGATCGGAATAGAACCCGGGACCCCTCAGTCCTCAAGCCTATGCTCCAGCTACTGAGCCAAAATGGTTTATACACTAAAAAAAAGAAAAGTTGAATGATACAGAGAAGATTAGCATGGCGCCTGAGTGAGGATGATGCAAATTCATCAAGCGTTCCATATTAAAATTTTTTTAACAACTTCAAACATTTTAGGAAAAGCTCTGAGTTTATGTCACCTTGTTGGAGTCCGTTCCCAACCTGGGCTTAAATTTCTTTATCTGTTAAAAAAGCAAACAGGGAGGACTTTTTTTTTTTTTTTTAAATAAAATGTATTTTATTGATTTTTTACCGAGAGGAGAAGAGAGGGATAGAGAGCTAGAAACGTCAATGAGAGAGAAACATCGACCAGCTGCCTCCTGCACACCCCCTACTGGGGATGTGCCCGCAACCAATGTACATGCCCTTGACCGGAATTGAACCCGGGACCTTTCAGTCCGCAGACCGACGCTCTACCACTGAGCCTAACCGGTTTCGGCCGGGGAGGACTTTTGAGCTGGACTTTTGGTGGTCCCCTCTGCACTCCAGGGTTCTAGAACCTTCCATGTTAATGCGTGTGGGATTTCCCCAGGCCACCAGCTGCCTGTGGGTTTTCTTTTGATGAAAAATTTTTGAAAACTAGCTTTGTCTGGCGGATGCATATCTTACGGTGAAGTTCACTCACTCTGTGGGCCTGCAGCTCTGACTTTTGACAAAGGTGTCCCGTGGAGCGACCCCCACCCTAGGCGGGACGGTTTCCTCCTTCCAGAAAGTGGTCAGCTCCTCGCCCACCTTGTAGCCACTGACCTGTGCCCTGTCCCCGGGAACGGGGTGTTTGCAGCGCAGTGAGCCGCACATCCCCGCCGGAGCCATGGCCAGCCTGAGGTCCAGCCGCCCCGGCTGCATCCGGGCCGCGTTCAGCGCCCCCGGCACCCGGGCCAGCCTGCGCAGGAGGCAGAGGAACGCGCTCCGGCGCCTCAAGGTGCTTCCCTCGCAGCCCTTCCCTCTCCCTGGGAATGGGGGGCGGGGGACCCTGTGTGCCCGAGACCAGGAAGCCTGCCCTGGGCGTCATCCTTTGGGTCTTTTCTCTTCCCCGAATCAGAGGTGTTCCCATCCCTGGCCTTAGGGGGTCTGTCTTTTTGATTAAGAAAAAAACCGTAGAGTTGCTTTACCCGGCAGCCTGGGTTTGCTGGGGAGGGTTCTAGAATGTCTGCCGAGCAGGGCCTGGCCGCGTCCGGACCTCAGCGTCTGCCTCCCGGGGAAGGGCTGGGTGAGGGCTGGGTGGGCCCTGGTTCTCCGGAGCGAGTGCAGCCTGTGGGTCCAGGGGCATTTTCGGGTCCCCCACTGCCAGGCCTGTCTCCTGCGCCTCTGGTTCCTGGTCCGAGGAGGCCCAGCTTTGGGTTCAGTCCCTCAGCCAGACCTCTGAGGGCTCTGGCCCGTTCGGGCTCCTCGCAGAGACCATGGCACGGGCAGCGGGCACCTTGCTCCTGCCTTTGCACGGTAAGCAGCCGCCTGCTCCCTTGATTGGCAGCAACCCTTGTCCAACCCTTTCCCCAGGTCAGTCACAGGAAGAGCTACGCGGACTTCGTTGAAGGTATCTGGAGAGAGGTACGTTAGGCCATGTGCTGGCAGCCACTCTTAGTTTTATTTATTTTTAATTTTTTATTAGGGAGAGAGAGAGGAAGCGTGGAGAGAGACAGACGTCAGTTTGTTGTTCCGCTTGTTTGCGCATTCGTTGGTTGACTCTTCTGTGTGCCCTGGCCGGGACCAAGCCCGCAACCTTGGCGTATCGGGAGGATGCTGTAACCGACGGAGCCTCTTGTGTGGGAGCCGTCCAGAAACCCAGTCCCCAGGGAGAGCCAGGGGCAGCCTTGCCAGCTGACCTGGGGAGCAGTCTCCTGCTGCACGGTGCTGGTGACATTTTTAGGAAAAACTTCATTTTGATATTTAAATTATTTTTACTCTTTAAAAAAAAAAATCTATAGTAATATTGGAAGAATATGCTGTCACAGTAGCGACTGAACAGCAGGCTGTGTGGGGCAACAAGGCCAGCAGGGGGGTTAGTGAGGGACGACCAAACGACCAGGCTGCATGGGGTGACTAAGCTGGCAGGGGGAGCAGTTAGGGGTGACCAGGCTGGTGGGTGGGAGCAGTTGGAGGCAACCAGGCAGGCAGAGGGAGCAGTTGGGGGCAGTTAGGACGGCAGGCAGAGGTGGTTAGGAGTGATCAGGCAGGCAGGCAGGTGAGCAGTTAGGAGCCAGCAGTCCTGGATTGTGAGAGGGTGCAGGCTGCGCTGAAGGGGGATGCCCCAGCCCCCCATCGGTGCATGAATTTCAGTTTTTAAATAACAACAACAACAACAACAACAACAAAAGACTCAAAGTATTTCTGTCTAGACAATTGACAAGACTATCAGTTTATAATTCATCAATTTCTAAATTCTCAATCAAAATTAAAACGAATTCCAAAGGTCAGGGGTGAGGAGGGCTGTTACTAGACGCCCAAAAAGCTCCAAAGCCTTTGCCGTGGTGGCCACCCTGGGGGTGGGGGTGGGGGTGGAGGTGGCGCCTGCATTGCCGCTCACCCTGCCCCTCACCCTGCTGCTCACAGGTGCTGCTCAGGTGGCATGGAGAACAGACCCAGCACCTTTCACATAGGGAGCAATTGGGTGGAGGGCTCCTTGCAGCTTCTTCTGGGCACCTGTGCGCGGGCAGCGGGCAGTGAGGGGGTCTGCAAAGGCCTGGTCAGGGCCGAGTTTATCCGGCACCAGGGACGCTGTGCCCTGGAGGGGATGTGGGGAGGGGATGGGCTCAGGCCACTGGTGGTAGCCTGGCCACATGGACGGAGCCAGCAGGGGGCCTGGTCAGTGCTGGCCGAGGGCTTTAATCATGGCTCTGTCTGGCAGGGCCCAGCGACAGCGGTCCCTCAGGCGTGGTAGATGCCATGTGACTAATGCATTTTATTTTTAAAATATATTTTATTGATTTTTTTACAGCGAGGAAGGGAGAGGGATAGAGAGTCAGAAACATTGGTGAGAGAGAAATATCAATCAGCTGCCTCCTGCACACCCCCTATTGCGGATGTGCCTGCAACCAAGGTACATGCCCTTGACCGGAATCGAACCTGGGACCTTTCAGTCCGCAGGCCAACGCTCTGTCCACTGAGCCACACCAGTTTCGGCGTGACTAATGCATTTTAAGAGATCTGTTTGCGAGGCAGATCCTGCCCACTTTGCGGGCGTCGGTGAGGGAAGCATGGCTGTGTAGACAGGAGCTCCCTGCCCGCTGCGGGGAGGGCTCAGTGGCTCTGGCGGCAGTTTTTAGATCCCTATGCGGGTTTGGAGGACGCCCCCGCCCACCTGGCCTGTGGCGTCAAGGACTGTTCTCCCGGCGACGTGACCTGCCACGGGCCTTCCCACACCCCGACGCCCAGGAGCCCCGACGTCCACTCAGGGGACCCTCCCTCGTCAGAAGGTCCCGCCGTGAAGGCCACCGGCGGGGCGGACAACGACGTGGACATGCAGCCCGCAGAAATGACGGAGGAGGCCTGGGGGCCCCTCCTCCCCGCCGGGGAGCCCCCGGGGGCAGGCCGGCGCGTGCAGGGCCGGGCCAGGGCGTCCCGGCCGTCACCCAGACTCGGGAGTGAGAAGGACAAGGCACCCAAGCTCGCGCTGTCCAAGAGGAAGCTGGAGCTTCTGCTGTGGGAGCCCGAGAAGAGGAAGCGGAGGAAGCAGCACGTGGCCTAGACCAGGTGGGTGGAGCGCCCGCTGTTGGAGGAGGAACACGGCCGTCTCATTCCCTGCTCCTGGGGCCGCTCCAGGGACCTCTGAGCTGATGGCTTTATTTACTGATTTTTAATTAAAAAAAATACTGTATATATTCTATTATTTTTTTTACAGAGAGGAAGAGAGAGGGATAGAGAGTTAGAAACATCGATGAGAGAGAATCATCAGTCAGCTGCCTCTTGCACACCCCCTACTGGGGATGTGCCCGCAACCAAGGTACTTGCCCTTGACCAGAATCGAAACCGGGATCTTTCAGTCCGCTCTATCCACTGAGCCAAACCGGTCTCGGCTGATGGCTTTATTTTTGGCAAACATTTAAAAAATGTATTTTGATTGATTTCACAGAGGAAGCGAGAGGGAGAGAAAGAGCGAGCGAGCAACATGAGTAATGAAAATCCTTGATCCGTTGCCTCCTGTACACCTCCTACTGGGGATCGAACCTGCAACCTGGGCATGTGCCCTGACTGGGAATCGAATCATGGCCTCTGGGTTCATAGGTCGAGGGTCAACCATTGAGCCACCCCAGCCCGGCTGAGCACTGGCTTTGGCTCATTTAGGGAGAGCACGGTCCCAAGGCAGTGACATCTGAACACGCCAGGGAGGCAGCTCTCATACTTGCGTGATTCAGTGTTTCATTCCTGGCAGGGAAAGACCAAAGGCCCTCCTCCCTCTGCCGTGGCCGCTGCCCGCAGCCAACGCCATCCACACCCTCCGCTGTGGCCGCTGCCCGCAGCCCGGACCACGCTGTTCCCAGTGCCAATAAAAGGGTCCCCCGAGGACAGGCCTGAGTGTCCTTTGGCGCCCGGGACCCTGGGAGTCGCTTCTCCTCCAGGGCACCCTGGGCTGGTGGCCTGTGTGGTGAGCTGGCTCCTCGCGTGGGTGCTGTCATGTGCCCCCTGGCCCCTCAGGCCCCCCTTTCAGAGGACAGGAAGGAAGGGCTGTGGCCACTGACCAGCCGGACCCTCCGGGGGCAGGGCCAGTGGTGGTCCCAGAGCCTAGGTCCCCTCAGGCCCTGTGGACGGTGGGCGAGGGGCTGGTGGGGAGGCTGGAGGAGGCCCTGCCCTGGTAGCGTCACCTCGGGCCTGGGGTTGGAGGTCGTAGCGCTTTGGGCACCTCATGGGCAGTCCTGTGGGGAAGCTGGGACCCTGGGCCTGCGGGGACAGCCCTGGGCTGAGGCGGGGGTGGTGTCTCAGGGGTGGCTGGGTGGCCGGTAGCCAAGTTGCTGCAGCCAAGTCGCTCTGTGGGAGCTGCTCTGCGCCCCTCCCGCGGGGCCTCTGGATCACAGGTGCGCGCCTCTCCTGTCCTGGACCCTCACAGGCACCACGTCAGCTCTGTGCGCGGACCCTGGCCTGTAAGTGGGGTGAAGTGGGCGGGCTGGGGGTTGGGCGGGAATGCTCCCCCACGTGGCCTTCTGTGGGCTCTTCCTAGGGCGAGCCTGCACAGCTCCAGGGCTCCCACTGCAAACGCTGAGGATCCTCTTGGTTCAGAGAAAGACGCTTAAAACGGGCCTGTTTTCAGTGGACCACAGCTTTGGACTGCAGTCAGCCACCGCTGAACCTCTGGAGAACGTTCCAGAAGTGGGCAAGGAGCAGCTCTGGCTCTTGTCTCAGACCCTGGGGATGGGGACCATGGCAGCTCCACAGAAGCCCCGGGGTTGGGGGTCAGGGCCTGAGTGTCCGGGCAGGACTCCACTCCCACTGCTGAGGCCTCGCCACTCAACCCTGGAACTCTCTCTCGCTGGGACCGGAGGTCAGAGCCCGTCTGGAAGGGAGGCCACACCCCCTCCGCCACCCTCACGTCCCCCTGAACGGGAGCGGCACTCGGACTGTGGCCGCCTCTTCCTGCCGCCCCAGGATCTGCGGGAACGAGATGCTGGGAGGAGATGGACAAGGGCCTCGCACCGGCTCCCCCACGAGGGGCTGCACAAGCTAAGGTATCGGTTATTTTTATTGACTTCAGAGAGGAAGGGAGAGGGGAAGATAAAAACATCGATGAGAGGGAATCTGATCGGCTGCCCCCTGCATGTCCCACACTGGTGATCCAGCCCGCAACCTGGGCCTGTGCCCTGACCGTGACCTCTTGGTTCACAGGTTGATCTCAACCACTGAGGCATGCTGGCCGGGCTCAGGTATCAGTTACTGATCCAGGACACCTGACTGCTCGGTGTCCCGAGGGCTTCCTACCCAGGCTTGTAACGCAGCAGCCGCAGTGGAGCTCACCGAGTGCCCGCGGCCCAGAGCCCGAGCGGGGCTGAGACAGAAGAGGCAGGCGCGGGTCATGCTTAGTGTTTTATTTAATAAAACAAGCCATGCCATCGACCTCAAAGCACAGGCCTGGGCCCGTCAACCTCCCTCCCACCAGTCCTGACCGTCGTCGGCACTCTTGCTCCTCCAGCCTCACACCGACGATGTGGCTTTGCCAAGTGCATGCCTTTGGAGGCTTTAAGAACGAGTGCGTGTTAAATATTGCATCTTCCCCTGCAGACGGAGACGGGGACTGAGAGACGGCGCTCACTCCGTGCACAGGACGGCCACCCCACGCTCGTAGAAGCTGCGAGGGTCTTCCTTGGTGGCGATTTCGAAGTCCACCGTGAAGATGAGGTCTGCCCGGGTGAAGTTCAGGTAGACAGGCAGGGTCACCTGCGAGGAAAGCGGGTCAGTGCTGGCGAGGGAGAGGCGGAGCGGCTGCAGGTGCTGCGGGCCTTCCTGAGGGAAGTGGGGAGACTGCTGACCAGGCCAGGTCCCGCTCCCGGGTGGACAGGGGACGTGACTTCGCTCTGGCTACGGGGCCATGTCTCCCCGGCCACAGAGGCCCGGAGGCGCCACCTACCACGTTAGCCTTCTTCTCCGCGTTGGTCTGCTTGACCCAGCGCAGCTGCGTGAGCGGCAGGACCGTGGAGATGGCGTTGGAGAGCGAGAGCTTGTTGTTGCTGCATGTGGCTCCCTGCAGCTTCAAACCTGGAGGAAAACCGGCTATTAAGAGTGGGAACGGCCCGGGAACCCATGGCGGGGTGCTCACGGCTGAACCATGGCCCACTGTCCACCTTCAACACTTGGGGAGCGACACGTGCCCAGCTTTTGTGCTCGGACCCTCAACTCACCCGTGACCCCAAAGCTGCAGGCGTCCAGGGTGGTGTTCTGCGAAGTGGTGACATTGACCTCCAGGCAGAGCTCCTCCAGGGACCAGCTGTTGGCCTGGGCCACGTACTGCCTGGTGGCGGTGATGTACGCCTCGGGCACAAACAGGCCGCCCAGACACACGTGGATGTTCTGGGGGAGAAGCAGCCCTGGTGAGGAGCACGCCCCACGCGTCCTCCCGGGTCAGAGCTGGGCCTGCTTGCCTCCTCCGCCCCCACCCGCTGCTGCCACCCTCCCCCAGCCCCTCAGGAGCGCTGTCACCACCTTCAGCTCCTTGGCGCCGCCGGACGCAGCCGCCAGAGAAATATTCTGTAGCTGCTTGATCCTCTCGCTGAAGTCAGCCACCCACTGGATGACGGTCATGCCCGCAGGAACTGTGTAGTGGGACCAGCTGCGCGGCAAGATCCCTGCAAGGAGACCCCGGCTGCCGGCGTCAGTTCCCACAATCCCCCAGCACAGGGTGGGCCCACCTGCTGCACTCACGTGGATCCCCGAGTGTGTCCACCCCAAACCCAGCGGCACCACATGTGCCCTGGCCAGGGCTCCGCCTGCTCGGCAGCAGTCAGTGCACCTGAGGGTGCATGTCTGGAGGACCTGCCACCACAGCCACAGCCTCTCGCCCCCCGCTCTGCCGATTCGGGCTCTTGGGGCTGCTGGGAGACACCTGGGCTGCCCTGCGTTGCTGCACCCACGGCACCCTTCCTTTTTCTCCTGCCCCACCCTGTATACTGCACAAGTTGCATAAAGCTTTTAGTTAATGTTCGACAGACCAGAATAAAGGAAAGCAAATGCCTTCAGCCCAAGTGAGGGGGCCCAGTGGCCGGAGGAGCCGGCGAGGGGATGTGGTGCGAGGGGACCTGCCGACGCGCTGAGCACAGGCCCGCCCCCGTGCACACCTTTCACCAGCTCGTTGATGAGCGTGCGCAGGTAGTTGGTCTGCTTCTTCTTCCCCTCGCACACTTGGACCACGTCAGCGAGGTCCTGGCGGACATCCTGCAGCAACTTGGCGCCCATCTTCACTTCTCTCTCGAAGAATCGGAACAGGGGGTCCTGAGGTGGTTCGCACCGAAGGCAGAGAGGGGGGAAGAGGGTTTAGAAGAGGATCCGCCCGGGAACCAGCCCCAGGACCCACAGCACCGAGCAGGTGCCCTCGACTGCCTGAGCACGATCTGGGCCGACCTCCAGGATGCTGGTTGGACCCCAGCTCCCGGAGACGGACAGCCTTCGGGACTCGCAGTGCAGTGGGGGCAGCCCTCCCGTCTGGCTGGGGCGAGAGCCTCTGAGACAGCGCTGAGCAGTCTACCCCCCGGCTAAGAGCATCGCCAGCCCCTGGACTTGGGCGGCCCCACCTCTCCTGGCCACCCAGCTAAGAGCACCCCGAGCCCCTGGCGTCGGTGCCCCCTCCCGCGGCCACCTTAATGTTGTCCACCGTCCGCTTGAGGTGGCTCAGCGTCTGGGGGATGAGGTGCAGCCAGTTGGAGGCGGTGGTGTGCAGCGTCCTCATCCAGGCGGGGCGGCCGTCGGACGTGGAGTCCGCCCGCGCCTTCTTCTCGGTCTCGGCGTAGGCCAGGTCATCCTCGTCCTCCAGCATCTGCATCTTCAGCATCTTGCTGATCATGTCCACGCCTGGGCCACGTCCCAGCAGCGGAGGGAAGCGAGGCAACGGAGAGCAGAGAAATGACTTCAACGTGAGGCCACAGAGTGAGTCACCCACAGGGCGTGCAGGAGGCAGCCGTCCATGCTGCACTCTCACACCGATGTTTCTTTCTCCTCCTCCTCTCTCTAAAAATTAATTAAAACCACCCCCTCCCCAAATCAGACGGCTGGCCCCCTGCAGCCAGTTCCAAGTCCGAAGGTGTGGGGTGGTCTGAGAGCCTGCCCTTCTAATAATGTGCAGGGGAGGCTCATACTGGCCTGGGGACCACACTTTGAGAACCACTGGAGCAGATGCTTATTGGGAAAACATCTGGCAAGTTAAAAGAAAAAGTTCTAAAAGAAAAAGTTCTAAAAGACACTCCAATGAGAGACGGATGGTTTAAACATCACTTGATACCAGGTACTTGCCGTCGCTCAGACGACAAGATGGAATGACCCCTCACTGGCACAGACACACTGCCCGCCCAGCCTGAGCTGCAGGACGCTGCGGGGTGCAGGCGCTGCCCTGGGGCACTCACCCTGGGTGGTGAGGAGGACTCTCTCGGCGTTGTTGGGCAGGCCCAGCCAGGAGGGCGTCTGGGTGTCGGGGAGCAGCTCCACCCACTGCACAAACTCCTCTCGCCTGGAAAGCCAGCACAGGGAACACGCCGTCACACGTGACGGAACTGCCTGGCGCCCTGACCACGCGGGCAGGGAGCGGCCGTACCTGATGCCGTCCGGCATTTGGATGTCCTTGTGCCCGTCCACCTTGCAGGCCAGCTTGAACTCGCTGTCAAAACTCTTGGTGGTGAAGAGGCGCTCCAGGAAGGTGTTGAGCAGACGCTGGTCGAACTCGTTGTCCACGCGCCCGCCATAGATGGACTGGGCCATCAGGGTCTTCAGCGCGGACCAGGGGATCTTGTCCGGCGAGATGTTCTGCCGCCCCTGGGCGAGCCAAGGCTGGTCAGTAGGGGTGGGGGCGCCCTGGATCCCCGTCTCCAGGGCCCTCACACTCACACTTGACAGGCCGTGGCGCTGCCACCGTGTTTCTAGCTTCCCCGCCCTCCGACAGGCACACCCACACTTGCCTTTGCCGTGTCGTCCAGCCATGTGTCCACGGTGTCGCAGGCCGACCGCAGGTCCGACTCCCCAAACTCGTACTTCTTGGACCAGCCCAGGGGAGCGTAGCGTAAGCGTTCCTGGATGATGGCGTGGAACCAGGCCAGCAGGAAGTACAAGCGCGCACGCTCGTTGGGAGACTGCGGGAGGAAGGTTACCGGGGACAGGTCACAGAGAGCGGCCCCTTTCGGCCTGGGAAAGCCGATCCTCATGGGAATCGAGGCTTTGAAAAGAGCTTCCCACACCCGCACACCGAATCACCGTGAGCTGCAGGGCTTACTGTGCGGCAAGTCAACACAACCGTGAGGTGGTTAGTGACGCTGCTGAGATAGGCCATTCACACAGTGCCGCGGAGGTGCGCGCTGGCACAACACACAACACGCTGGCCCCCAACTACATGGGTTTGGACTGCACGGTCGATTCACACATGGACTTGTTTTCAGTAAATAGTCAGCTCTTCCTATTGTTGTGTTTTGCACCCCCAGATGTGGAGGGCTGATTTACATGCATTGTTCTGTGCCATGTACACAGGGGACTGGAACAGCATGGAGCTTGCTATCCACCGGAACCCTGAACCAACCCACAGCCCCTGACTGCGAAGGTTTTTGGGGAGTCAAAGGTTACACGTTTTTTTGTTTTGTTTTTTTTTTAAAGATATTTTATTGATTTTGTACAGAGAGGAAGGGAGAGAGATAGAGAGCTAGAAACATCGATGAGAGAGAGTCATCGACCAGCTGCCTCTTGCACACCCCCTACTGGGGATATGCCCGCAACCAAGGTACATGCCCTTGACCGGAATCGAACCCGGGACCTTTCAGTCCCCAAGCCGATGCTCTATCCATTAAGCCAAACCAGTCTCGGCACACGTGAGTTTTTTACTGCAGAGGTCACATTGTTCCAGGGTGAACTGCAGCATGAGTGCCCGCCTCCTGCCCACACCCTCAGGGCGCCATGACGAGCAATGGATTCCCCAACGCCTGGGATACCAATCTGGGTTCCAGAACTCTACTGGGCGTGTCACAGCCCTGCCCTAGGACAGGCGGCCTCACCTTGCATATCCGCGAGACGGGGATGCTGCTGAACGTCCTCAGCATGTTGGCCTTCACCCCTGGGGGTGGCTCGAAGACAAAGATGCGGCCAGCTCGGAGCAGGTTCACGGGCACCTGAGAAGAGAGCCTGTCACCACTCTGGTGTGCTGGGCACTGTGACTCAGGGATCCACCCCACCTGGCAGAGGTGCCCACCTTGGGGTTGATCTCCATGGTGAGGAAGAGCCGGAAGCAGGCGTGCGGCTGCAGGGAGTGCAGCTTCTTCTCGAGCTGCATCAGCCACCCCGGGGCCAGGTGCACGTTCTTCAGCATCACCCACCTGCAGGCGGAGCGAGAGCCGCACCTCAGCCTCCTGTCAGCCCCTGGGCCCGTGTCCCCAACAAGCAGCAGGCCTACCTGCCCGACTTCACCGCCGTGTTGATCGCCTTGTCTGCCTGGTTGAAGCCTTCTGCGGAGCCTGAGGCCAGAAGCTGAGTCAGCACCGGGCCGCGGGCGGGAGCGCTGAGGGGCTTCCGCCCAGAATGTGATCAGGCACCCGCCCCTCACCCCCACCCTTACCGATCGCGATGGACGTGATCTGCGTGTTCTGCTCAGCCGCCAGGTCTTCCACGTGCCCGCTGGCGTCGTAGCCAGGCACGGAGCACATGAGGACAGGCGTGTTGGGCTTCACCTGCAGATGAAGAAGTCGGGATTCAGCTTGGCTGTCCAGCGGATGGCGTGCCCCGTGCGGAGCGAGGAGAGCCCTGTGAGAGGCCCACCTCCGTGTCCACGATGTGCGTCAGGTCGAGCGGCTGCTCCATGATGGACATGAAGGACTCCCCGAGGTTCGTGGAGACGAACACGTGGGCCATGGCCAGCAGGCGGTCGGGGCGGAAAGCCTGGATCAGCAGCAGGCGGTGGATGGCTTGCCCGATGGGCGCTGAAACGAGGCCGGGAGAAGGGTGGGAGTTGGTGACAGCACAGACTGAGCTGACACCCCCCCCTCCAACTTCCTCGGGAGGAGGAGCTAATCGGCAAACAACACTGCCTCTGTCCTCTCTGCCCGGGAGGACTGCCCGTCCTGGGTCCTCGGTGAGCCCCTGGATGCACTTTGGATTTAAATGATCCAGTGTACCAGTCACTGGGTAGAGAGGACCCTGAATCCTCAGTCTACGGAACGGTGGTCATCACCAGCCCTCCCCGTGGCCTCATCCCCGCTGCTAGGAGCCTGGCTGGCCACACACTGAGTAACAGCCTGTGTCCCCTCCGTGCTGGGCCAGGCCTTCCTATCAGTTCCTGTTGGTCCTGAAGCATGAGAGGGCACGGGCATGAGCAGGTTTGCTCTCCCTCCGCTAAGCTGACTCCTAAAGCTTCAGCACAGACCCTGCTCTGGGAACCAGTGGCTGAGCAGCCCAGGAGGGGATGCAGGGCTGAGGGGCTCACATGCGGGGCTCTCTTCACTCCAGAGGTAGGGCACCGTCTGCTCGGGGGAGCTGCTGTCCAGCCAGATGCCAAATTGCTGTGGAGACAACAGTGGGAGCATCACCGTGAGCAGAGCCGTGTTCATGGGCACAGGCGCACAGCAGGAGGCTCCACTTTGCATGACACACACACCCCTAGTGTGTCTCCCGGGAGGGAACGTCAGCACCTACCTCGTCGGCCTGGACCTTGGCGATCAGGTCTCTGAAGGCAGGGAGGCAGCTCAGCCTCACCACGGCTTCGGCCTGCTCCACCGTCAGGCCCTGGATGGTGGGCGTGGAGCCGGCCGTCAGCACGATCTCCTTCCCTCTCAGGAAGTGCTGGAACTCTGCATCGTAGGTGGGCTCCCTGCAAAGGGTGGTGGGCAAGTAGGTGTCTCAGACTCCACTGTCACGACGAGAGCCGCCATGACTGACAGGACAGCGCCTGCAGGCGACCTACAAAACCTGCCACCCGGGATGGAGTGACCGGCGCTGCCCTTACCCGAGGGTGCCCTTCAGCTTGATCCTGGCCAGCAGCATGGCAAAGGTGATGTGGTCCTGGTGCAGCATGCCCCGGGCCACCCGGTTGAACGCCACCTGGGGGCCAAAGCAGGAAATGCTGCTGCTCCGAGGAGCCCCTCTGCCTGCCCCGCCCGCCCCGCCCCCACCTGAGAGCCAGCGGCCGCACCTGGAAGAGGTCCTTGGTGATGATGGAGAGGCGCTGCGTGTGGTCCGTGATGCCCTTCAGGTTGGGGTTCTCGTACAGCACGTTGTGGTAGATGTCCAGGAAGAACTGCAGCGAGTACTGGTACAGGAAGTGTATCTGCCGAGGGGACGCGGCCGTCAGCACCCACCGGGCACCGCGTGCCCTCGCCTGGCCGGGGCCCCTGCCTGCCGCTCAGTCACCTGCTTCAGGGACTCCATGGTGAAGTAGATGCTGCTGCAGGCGGTGGACAGCGGCAGGTACTGCTGGGACACCGTCTCCACCTCCTGCATCACGATGTCGGTCTCCTCGACCTTGCGCGTCACCTCGGCGGCCTCCCGCTTGAGGTTCTCCAGCGTCGTGATGATGGTGTCGTCGTCCAGGATGCGCCCCTTCACCTCATTGAGCGCCTGCAGCAGGGACTTCTCCAGCTGCCGCAGGCGGAGCTGGAACTCGCCTGGAACACGACACGGGTCTGTGGCCGCGCGCCCGGCTAAAGGATGCCCCTGAGCCCGCCGCACGCCCGGAACATCGGCCCCTCGAAGCCCGGCCTCCGGACCCAGCCCCGCCCGGAGCGTACCTTGGAGCTTAAGGAGGTCGGAGCGTTTCTCGTCCACGTCCGGTCTCTCTGCTTTGAGCACCTCATTGAGGCACTGGCTCTGTAAGCTGCTGCGGGTGACGGTGAAGTTGACGAAGGTGACCCGGGAGCAGAGGTCTGGAGGGAACTCCACCTGCCGGAAGGGGGAACAGGACCATCATCCGCTTTCGTGCGCCAGCCTTGACCCCAACGTGCCATTCTCCTACGGGAAGGGCCTCGCTCCTTACGGTTGGATCGCGGGTGGACAGGAAGATGACGAACGAGGGCGACAGGTCAATGTCCTGGTCCCCGAGGGTGATCAGCACTCTCCCGCCCGTGCGCCGCACCTCACGGTTCAGCACCGGGTTCAACACCGGGTCGTAGCTTTCCACGTCCTGCGGACACACGTGCAGTTGGCCGGTGAGTACTTGTGTACCACGTAAGGGTGCATCGACCGCCATCCTGCTCCAGTACTCGCTGCAGTTCTTCCTGGACATCTAGCACACCTCCCTAGCGACCGGCCGTTCCGACCAGCACTGGCGATAGGGCAGCCAGAGCCACGGGCTGCTTTAAAACACTCCATCCTTAGTCACGTTGGCCAGACATGCCCACAACTGCCGGCATCTCTGTCACCGCCAGGGACAGGGGCCCAGCTAAGTGGAATCTACATGCAAGCACTGCTGCTGTTGGGTTTGTTTTCTAACAACAATCTCTAAGCTTTCCCTGCCATGCTACAGGAAGGCCCACAAAGCTCGCAGTCTGCCCCTCTGTACCACGTCAGTCAGTGTATCTCACACGGACTGCCTGTGTTGGAACCACCAGACGTCGCCCTGAGGCCGTCCCTCTCGGGGCAGGCTGTGAGGAGTCGGAGGCGCACGGACCTGGACCAGCAGCGGGTTCCCGAACCGCAGCGCGCTCTCCAGGTTCTTCCTGAAGGCGTCGTCCAGGAAGCTGGTCCGCGTGATCTTGCGGTCCTTGTACTCGTTCATGATGAACTCCGTGGCCTGTCCCGAGGGGTCGATGATCAGCGGGTACCTGAGGACGAGGCGGAGGAGCCGGTCAGGGAAGGCAGCAGGAAGGACAAGACATGGGGGTGCGGGGGGCCGAGCCGGACAAGACAGGTGGAGAGCGCACCCCCTCAGCACCTGGCCTCACTCCGCCTGCCGAGCCCCCTTGGGGTGTGCACGGCTGTGTGGACAGCGGGCTGGCAAGGACCCCCGTCTCCCCGGGCACGGGCCTAACGAGGGCACCTGTCGCACCCCACCTTCCGCTGGCGCACTCTGGCCCCACTGCCAGCTATCGAATCGGCGCCTAGACGTGTACGCACTTTCCATGAGACGGACCAGCTCACACACCACCCACAGAGCAACACTCTCGCCAGCTGCTCATCTGCTCATGGGACCTGAGGGTTTGCTCCTGAACTCCAATAGGGCAGTCCACTGTGTGTCCCTGAACAGTGGCACACAGCAAGGGCTCACAGGCCCCGACATGCTCCGTGAGGTTAAAAACAAGCCTGAGGATAAAGTTTAAAAAACCACCTGGGCCGGTGTGGCTCACGTGGGCAGTGTCTGGCACCACGACAGGTTGCCAGTTTGATTCCCCGTTAGGATAATGTCCAGGTTACAGACTTGATAGATGTTTAGCACCCTCACATTGATGTTTCTCTCTCTCACTAAAAATCAATTTTAAAAATCTTTAAAAAGTTTTTTTTTACTGATTTTTTACAGAGAGGAAGGGAGAGAGATAGCTAGAAACGTCGATGAGAGAGAAACATCGACCAGCTGCCTCTTGCACACCCCCCACTGGGGATGTGCCTGCAACCCAGGTACATGCCCTTGACCGGAATCGAACCTGGGACCCTTCAGTCCACAGACCGACGCTCTACCACTGAGCCAAACCGGCTTCAGCTTTAAAAATCTTTTAAAAAGGAAACAGCAAGGACACGGGGTGTGAGTGCTGCTGCCGAGGGCGAGCCTGAAAGCTGGGTGCCACCATGGGCCGTCCCGAGGACGCTGTGACTGGCAGTGTCTGGCCCACCTTTGTGGAGTCACGGTCCATGTCTCACTCCGGCAGCAATTTCCCCTTTAACACTACGTCAAGCTGAATATTTTTAGTCCTAACATTTCAAGAGGGTCTGGTCTGTTCAATGTCCACCCCGACACACAACCCGGCCATTCTGTTTCAAAATGTTAGAGCAGAAACGGTCACTGCAGAGCGATTCAGACGCTGAGACCGAACAGAAGGACATGCCCCCTCCATCGGAGTGAGCACAGACCCGGTCCACCCTGCCCCCGGGGAGTGTTGGAAACGGGTCTGCACACGCCTGGCGGCCGGCGTACCTGTTGAAGCGTTTGAGCATGATGGCGTTCTCTGTGCACAGGTCGTCGGCAGGTAAGGAGCTGGCCTGCCAGCGGAGGCGCTCGTCGGCGTTGGACAGGTACTCCGTCCGGGCGATGTCTGTGCGGAACTGCGGGGCAGGGCGGTTAGGATCCGCGGCCCGCTGCTGGGCGGCGCCCGTTTCCGGACCGTTAGCGCCCCCCCCCCCCCCCCCAGCTCCTGGGACGGTACCTGGATGTTGGCCTGCTGCAGGTGGTGGGACCACGTGGTGAACAGGTTCTGCCGCATCTGCTGGTCGAAGTAACCCGCGTAGGCAATGAACGCCGCCGACAGGAGGCAGTCCCCAGCGATGGTGGACATCTGGTTCTTGAAGGTTTCGCTGGTTTTTTCCCAGCGTTCGCGCTCCGCGGACAGGCTCTTCAGGAGGGCAGTGCTCCGGTTTACCTAGAGGACAAGCAGCAGGGTCTACACGGGAAGTGCACGCCGTTCCCCCTGCAGGCGTGGGGCGGGCTGGAATACTAACAGGCTCCCGGGCACAGCCCGTGCGTGAGCAGAGACGGGCAAGGAGGACGGTGAAGGGACAGCTGGGAAGAGCTGGCCTGCAGGGGAGACGCGGGGCAGAGAGTATTCTGAGGACTCGGAGGCGGGTGTGAGCAGTGGTGAGGACACGGGGGGCAGGAGGCCCTGACAGGGAGGCCCTCCGTGACTGGAGAACAGACAGGTTGGGAGCTGGGGGGAGGGGCACTGGCTTTACCCTGCCCAGGGGCATCTATTAATACCTAAAGCCACTCAGCGTCCCAGCATCCTCCAGCCACAACAGCTAATTTGCTGAGCAAAGGTGATATGTGCAGCACATGTTCACGGTGCTGACTCTGCCTCTGCCCAGTGAGGCCAGCAAGCACTGTATGTGAACGCCAAGAGGCAGAAGCCAGGGGTGGGCAGAGAGGGCGCGGGTCCCCGAGAACTTACCTTCGCCTCCACGGCGGCCAGGTCTGCTTTGATGGCCTGGGCCTCGGAGATGAGCACCGCGTACTCCTCCTTGTAGCGGGCGATGCTGGCCTCCAGGTCCCGGATCATCTGCTCCACCTCGTTGGCCTTCTGCTGGTTGTCCTTGGCGTCGTCCTCCAGCTTCTGCAGCTCGTTGCGCAGAGGCTCCACGCGCTTCAGCATGTCCGCGTAGTTGAGCTGAGGAGGGCGGACAGAACTCATTCACAAGCAACAGCACAGGAGGTCACCGCGCATGGGCTCCGGGCTCTGGGCTCCGTACCTGTGCGATGGCCCACTTCACCATGGGCCCGCAGGCCAGGGACGCGCGGTTCACGATTTCATAGTTGTAGCTCGGGTTGGACATGTAGTTCTTCTTCATCTTCTCCCTTATGGCGTCACTGCAACAGAGAGGTGTGCTGCTAAGGACGTGCCGGGCAAAGTGAAGCAGAGCTCTCAGGAAATCCAAATGGAACGGCCAGTTCCCATCTGCTGCCCCCGTGACCACGGAGGATGAGCCACTCCGACCCTCGTTCCAGGTGACAGTGGACGCCGCTGCTGAGGACTCTGACCTTCGGCTCTCGCCTCCCTGGCAGGAGACAGGCCGGGGCCAGCTCTGCAGCCGGGCTTGGCTCCCAGGGGTGGAGGGGCCAGAAAACCCGGCAGGATCGTGGGGAAAACCTGACTCCTGTGGTGGAAGTGGCCTGGAAAGGCAGCTCTGTGACTAACACAACTTACCCAGAGACAGCCACCACCTCCCCCGCAGTCCCCCGGGCCCGCACCCTCACCTGATCTCCTCGGCAGAGAAGTTGACGATGGTGGGGATGAAGTTCTCCCGCATGATGATGGAGCGGATCTGCTTCCAGTCCGTGGTGCTCTCGCCCAGCAGCAGGCAGATGGACTCGAGTGCCAGCTTCACGGCGGCCGGGGGGTTGGCCATGGACCGCACCTCCACCAAGTGCTGCTTCTTGATCGACTTCACGGCTGAGCACGGTGGAGGCGGAGAGGGTTGGGGGGAAAGAAAGCATGACACTGAGAAGGGAGCAAACCACAGCCAGACGCTTTGACTCCCATCACAATAGGACAACTGCTCAGGAACAGCTGAGTTTCTGTCCGTAACCCAGAACAGCTTCAGCAGCCGGTCTTTTAAACAGTCGTGGAGAGCTTACTGAACTAGCACAAACGGCAACCCTGTACACAAAGCAGGCTCTCACCTTTAAAATTGCCTCATGAAGGATTGGAACTATTTTAAACATGTTTTTAAACGTAACGTAATTGCATTTCATCCAGTTTAAACAAAGAGGCTTTCGACCAGCCATTCTAGAAGCTGACTGACTGGCTGCATGAGAACACGGACCCAACAGGCCTCAGAAATGGTCAGAGCCTTCCACACACTGAAGGGCAGTTTTCCAGCCTGAACTTGATTTAAAACATTTTTTAAGCGATGAGAACTAAATTAAGTTCCCGCCTACGTACAACAGGGAGTAAAAATGTATAGTTTGGATGGTGCCTGTTAGTTTATGTTGTGGTGTGATGTGGAGACGTCATATAATGAGATACTGGAAACGAGTTCCATGTTAGGGTGAGGCCACTAATTACAGTGTAGACTGACAACAAAGCAGGTCTGCCCCACTGCAGCGTGAGCCACAAGGCGAGCCTCGTCTGTGGTCACCACTTAAATCAGCGGCCACCGGCCACGCCCACAGCACTCTCAGACATGACTCTCAGAGGGCAACACTGCACACTTTAGAGTATTTCTTGCTGAAATTCAAGCCAGAATTACAAAGGGCCTATTTAAGTCATCACCAGATTTTTAGGAAGTTTGTATCGGCACGGAGCTTGTTTGGTCAGTGTTCTCATGAGAAGGCTGTGCTAGGGTGGGAGCTGCTCGCTGTACGGGGACGGTGCTTTAGGGGCGAAGACGGCCCTTACCGTTCTGGGCCTCGATGACAGCGGGCTCCACCTTGTCCAGGTCCTCCTTGACGCTCATCTGCTTGTCTGCGATGCCCTCCTGCTGCTTGTGCAGCTGCTCCTGGATCTCCTGGCTCATGACCTGGAAGGGAGGGCCGGCTGAGCGGGGGACTGCGGATGGGTGACCTGCCGAGTGGCTCTAGAGCCGCACTCCTCGCCTTGCCCCAAGCACCGCCACCCCTTACCCTGTTCAACCCCAAAGCCACCTCAGTCGCAGTTCCCACCCTCCTCGGAGACGGAGAGCGCTGGCTCACGAGGCTGCACACCCGGAAGTGAAAACCCACCTTTTTCTTCTCGGCCTCCTGCTGGTCCTTCACCATCTTCTTCAGCTTGTCATTGGCCGCCGCATTCTTCACCTCCAGCTCCTGGCTCTTTATCCTCAAGTCCCGGCGCAGCTCTTCGACCTGAAACACAAACCCGCCAGGGAGAACGTGGGGAACTGCTTGGAGGCCCTCACTGCTGTGCCCCGGGGAGCTGGCTGTGCGGTGCGTACCTGGTCGACAGTCTCCTTGATCTTCCTGAGCCCGACGTTCAAGTGCATCTGCTGCTCCTCCAGCTCGCTCCGCTTCTCGTGGAACAGGTTGGCGTAGTGGTTGATGAAGTCCAGGTAGTGGCGAGGCGTGATGGCCATCGTCCTGCCGCCCCGCTTGGCGAGCCGAGCGTTTGCCTTTTAGAAATAAAGTTAAACTTTCACTCTTCAGGGCGTTCTCTGCGATTTGGCCTCGAAGGCTCCTCCTGTTCTGCCTGTGGGCCACTGCGTGACACGTGGCATGTGCCCAGCCCTCGGGCCACAACACTTGAGCTGGGGGCCTTGCGAGGTCTTGAAAGCTCTGAAACCTAAGCTTCCTCCTGCAGCTCCTCTGAGACAGGACGGGGATTCTGACAACCTCAGACGTGCCTCCTGGGGCGGGTCATGGCAGTGTAGACGCTATGGAACTACAAACGGGATTGCTGCGGCTAGTCATGCCACCTCTGCCGCCCACTACTTGCTTTCTGTGGACACCACCACGGCCAGCCCCAGGCACGGCAGCACAGGCTCCGTCACCACACTGCCCTCTGCCAGAGGGGGATGTGTGATGCACAGCGGCGGGACCTGCGGCCAGCAGGAAGCCAGGACAGACGGCATCCTGGAAGCCATGGAGGTGCCCCCAGGTGTGATGGGGTGTGGAGGGCAGGGCAGTGGCTGCCAGAACCCCCACAAACTCATAGTTGTTGTTACAGGCTTTTCAGGTGCAAGCGGACTGGACACTTCTACCAGAGTCAGGAGCAAGGCCAGCAACCAGGCCCAGGCAAGCCCTGCCACCACATGCTCCTGTGCAGGAAGCGGGCGGCAGAGCACGCCCATCCGCCCACATGGGAACTGCGGGGCTTCTGTGCTTTGAGGGCAGAGCCGGAGACCCGTCTGGCCCTTCACAGAAACAATGCAGGCCCCTGGGCGAGGAGGGCTCAGGCCCGGACACAGCATCAGTGAGCACAGGAGGGAATGCTTTAGGTAGAATTGGGGCGGGAAAGGGCGGTGACAAGGAGATGCTGACAGAGGTCAGGAAGCAGATGAGCAGGGTTAGGGTTAGGGTTTCCCTTTGATACTCATGTCCTGGACTTCTCTAGGGTTCAGTCTACAAGTCTGTTGCAGGTAACGGCACAGGGGCAACCGTGAAGTGCCGTGGGGCCCACTCCGTGACCCACCTGGTGAAGAGTCTGGTGGACAAACACACAGCTGTTGACGATGGCCTCCCGGTGGGACGGTGGCTGCGGCAGTTTGTCATACACGACCGGCATGTAGTCGGGCACAATGTAATTCGGCTTCTCCAGGTCCATCTTGCTGGTGAATTCTTTGCCAACCTGATAGAGCGCTTCCGTGGACCAGTCCCCAAACCAGTTCAGCACACACCTGCGGAAATGCCCGAGTCTCAGACAGCGGCCAGGGCAGGGTTTGGCCCTGGAGGGAGACCCACGTGCTGAGCGCAGACCGTGTACCTGTTGAAAAGAGCCGGGGACGTGGCAGCGCGGTCCTTGAGGCCCTCGGAGGACGGGTTCATGGTGAAGACGACGTGGAGGTTGCGGATGACCTGGCTGGTGAACCACTTGTACAGCTCCTCGTGCGAGTCCAGCATCAGGCCCTCCTTCTGGGCCCCCTCTTTGCACTGGGTCATCAAGGTGGCGTACTCGTCGCCCTCGAACAGACCAGGGACCTAGGAGAGAAACAGCACCATGCCCGACTGGTCCCGGTGACACGACCACGGAGCAGCCACCAGGGCGACAGGTCACTGCCTCACCTCTCCGTTGGCCAGAAGCGTATTCATTCGCTCCAGGAATCCAGAATCCAACACGTTGGACTCGTCCATTATAAATGCTATCTTCTCATTTTTGCAGCCAGAGCGCCTCAGCACTGTCCGAAGGTCTTCGTCGAAGTCTTCCCCGGTGTACTTCCTGTGGACCTGCGGGGCAGCGGCACGTTAGGCCCTCAGCCCAGGAGCTCCGTGCAGGACCGGAACCCCCTGCTGGGTGGAGAGCCCATGGAGACCCACCTTGATCTGGTACACACTCAAACCGTTCATCCAGGCCACGAATCGGGACAGGGTGGTTTTCCCCGCTCCGCTGACCCCAATCAGCAGCAAGTGGCCTTGAGGCTGGCGGAATATTCTGGAACGGTACCAGAAAAAACACACTGTAAGGTTTTCTGCTGCATTCCCCCTTTGATTCTCGTGTCCTGGACTTCTCTAGGATTCAGTCTACATTTCTAATGTGTTTAACTTGAATTTGTTAAATAACAACTTAAATATTTTTATTTGCCAGGTCCAGTGGGACGAAAAGATCAGCTGATGGAGGGCTGCTTAGCAGGCAAGTGTGGGGCAGGAAAGCTGGAGGCAAAAAGAAGGGGGGGTCCCTTGGCAGGGGGCGCTGAGGTGGGACTTGGGAGGGTCAGTGGGGAGAAGAGCACCAGTCCCTGTCCCTATCCCCTGCCCCCAGAGCAGCTCAGGAGAGCGGGAGCTGTGACAAGCCCACCTGTCGATCCTGAGCACGTGGTCCAGCACTTCATTAAACAGGACCAGGGGGACGTCCAGCTCTTCTTCGTAGAAGACTTTCAGCCTCGCTTTGACGTAATCTCTCAACTCCTCTTGGTCTACGGGGATGTAATCCTGTGGAAAGAAGGAAAGACCCAAATTACCAAGAAGAAACAATCTTAGTTATTATACCTAAGTCAGTCATGTTTCCATGTTATTGAATGACCCACTGTCAAAAATGCAATAGAAGATGTCATTTACAACACAGCAAACAAACAAAAAAACGGAAAAACAAACAAAAAAAACAAGGTAACTGGGACCAGCTCCGGAAACATGGAAAATCTGCACAGAGAAGGCCTGTGTAAACGGAGAGAACCACGGTCCTGCGGAGAAAGCCCCCGACCGTGCACAGGCCACATCCATAATGGAATCCCAGCCGAAATCACAGCACTGGGTGGCAGTTTTGCTACAAACTGCAAACCAATTCTAAACGACATTTGGAGAGGAGAGGCCCAAGGGTCAGGACCTCTCTACAGAAGAGCCAGGGGTGAGGACCTAACCCATCAGACTTATCCCTGCCATCAGGAGGAGGTGGTTTGCGCACAGGAAGCGACAAACCGAACAGTGGACAGGACGGAGCTCTGAAACAGACCCATGCACACAGCAAGTCCAGTCTGACAGCGACACTGCAGAGTAGAGGCCATTCAACAAACTGCTGGGATTGTGGATGTTCACAGAAAACGCGTCCATAGCTCACTCCATACACGAGCGAAACTACTGATGAATTATGGATTTAAATAGTGTTTCTTCAAGAACATTTGTTTTTCGCCTAGCCGGTGTGGCTCAGTGATTGAACTTCAACCTATGAACCAGGAGGTCCTGGTTCAATTCACAGCCAGGGCACATGCCTGGGCTGTGGCTCAATCCCCAGGAGGAGGCATGCAAGAGGCAACTGGTCAATGATTCTCATTACTGCTGTTTGTATCTTTCTCCCTGCCTCTCTAAAACCAATAAAAATATATTAAAAACAATAAAAAACAATTTTTTTCAAAAAACACCAAAGAGTGAAAAGACAAGCCACTGGGAAGAGCTACTGCCTATAACCTCAAGCCTGGAAGTAAATAGGAGATTCTAGCACAAGCACATCAAACTCCCCAGCCAATACAACGGCATGTAAGAAATAGTTTAACAAAAAGTTCATTAGTTTAATATAATATCCTGTTATACATAATTATTAATGAACTACAACGTTCGCTAATGACTGATTATATAATAGTGATGTGTTCATTTCCCTTATGCACCAGTGCACCATTTCTCTCCACTAATACCAGCAGTGAATATTTTAGCAGCCGATGGCCACGTCATTAGTCTTGGACTGACTTGTTTGGTGTGCGAAACATAATATTTCGCTTTTGGAAAACAAGAAAAAGATTTGTGTTACACTTATTAATTTGTGCAGTTATTCAGTGTCTGATAAGTTAATGTTCAAGAAAAAAATAACTTTTATTAAAATGTTCTGTTTTATGTTAATGATTACTCATTTATTTCAGCCCTTTGGGCTCAGCATGTCTCTATCAAAATAAACCTACGTTTCTATGAAAATTGAAGCATTTGTTTTTTTGCATATCAACTTCCACTTAAACCTTGTTATCTGGCCCGTGTTAGCCTTTGAATTTGACATGCCTGTTCTAGCACAATAAACATACCTGCCCGCTGCTTCTGCTCCTTCCAGTATCCTGTTATACATAATTATTGGCAGTTTTGTCAGGTCCTCTATCTGGCAAGCCCTTCCTGACACTCAGGAGGCCAGTGAGCCTGTGAAGACCTGATGCCAAAACCTCTCCCAGACAGGCCATGTCCCTGCCTCGCTCCCTTTAGACTGTGACCTTGACACGTCCCCGAGTCAGGTGTTACCAAATGACGTGCACAGGAAGACCACAACTCACTAAAGTAGGGGTGTCGAACTCAATCAGAGAAGGGGCCAAAATCTAAAATCCAGCCTAAATCGCGGGCCGAATGGTTTACTGAACAGTCATAAACTGTCATTGTGATGGAAACGCAGCGGAGTGCAGTGATGACAGCACGGTGCGGGCCACATTGCAAGGCCTGGCAGTACGGATTTGGCCCGCGGGCTTTGTGTTTGACACATGTGCACTAAAGCGTCTGACCTCCTTTCCAGATAAAAGGACGGCTCGCAGCTGTGCTGGGAACGTCACTTCTGTATAGCATCTCAGTGTATGAAACTTTCACACAAATGAGAGCTCCTCCTTGTTCAATGTGAGGAAAGTGAGAGCAAAGGGAAGCAAAGGCTTTCCCTGCACACATGCTGAAGCCACATCTGCTGGTGGGAGCAATCATCGCATGGAGATAACAGCCGTCCAGCCACACTCCTGGGACTCTACCCTAACCCCCTAGGTTATCAGAGCTGCAGAGACGCAGTCATCATCATGCGTGTAACCACCTTAGTTGACAGCGCACTTCCAGACAGACACCTTTAGGTCAGAGGCTCATGCTAACTGACAGGAAGGCAGAGGAGAGGGCATGGCTGACTGCAGGGCCAGGTCACAGAGGAGGGGTCAGGGCTGACTGACAGGTCACAGAAGAGATGACATGGCTGACTGCAGGGCCTGGTCACAGAGGAGGGGTCTGGGGCTCACAGAGGAAGGATTAGGGATGACTGACAGGTCACAGAGGAGGGGTCAGGGCGGGCTGACAGGTCACAGAGGAGGGGTCAGGGCTGGCTGACAGGTCACAGGGGAGGGGAGGTGGCTGACTGCAGGGCCCGGTCACCTTGGACAGCCAGTTGCTGTACAGGATGGGCCGGCTCATGGCTCTCTCCTTGTCGATGTTGGGGAAGTGCTTCAGAGCCACCATGTCGATGTTCTCGTCGGTCCAGCGCCGCTCCTCGTCCTCCACAAGCCTGTCAGGAGAGGAGAGCAGCGTGTAAGTCCAGAGACCAATGGGGGGGGGGAAGGGAGGGAGGTGATGGTGGTGGTGGTGGTGGAAGGGGAGTGGGACGGGACAGGACACTAGGTTGTGTGTGTTGGGGGTGATTCCATAGGCTGAGATCAGTGTTTACCAGAAATTTTCATTTTCTACAAATGGAAAAAGCTGAGACTCTGAACTCAAGATGCTTAAGCAATCCAAAGTTTAAACATCCCGTATTATATAAAAGGCTAATATGCAAATTGTCCCCTTGACCAGGAGTTCCACCAGGGGAAGGGGCCGGCCTGCCAACCACCCTTTGCCCCTCCCCCTGGCCAGCCAGACCCCACCCATGCCTGAATTCATGCCCCGGGCCTCCAGTTAAATATAAAACACTGAGACCTATGGCACCACACTGCAAACAACTCCCTTAAAGCGAAACCACAGCAGTTTAAGGAACTGTGGTTCAGGGTCTCGGCCTGTTGAGCATGCTCTGACGCGGGCACTGAGGACAGAGGGGAACGGCGTACACAGCTCTGGAGGCGCAGGGCCGTGGAAAAAACAGCAAGCAGGTGAGCTGCGCCTTCCCTACAGCTGTGAGGGGACCGTGGGAGGTGACTACACCGAGCAGGCATGATGGAGCGACTGCAGTCAATCAGAACTGAGATGCACGGTGGCTATGCTACATTCAAATCTAAACAAAACCTTTCTCTGGTATTTTGGGAAAGCTATAAAAATTACACTATAGCTTAAAATTCATTTAAAAATACTTTTACTGATTTTAGAAAGCGAGAGAAAAACATAAATGATGAGAGAATCATTGACGGGCTGCCTCTTGCATGCTCCCTACTAGGGATCGAGTCTGCAACCCAGGCATAATACCCTTGATCATAATCAAACCCGGGACCCTTCAATCTGCAGGCCAACACTCTACCCACTGAGCAAAACTGGCTAGAACTCAAATTCATTTTTTAACTTAAAAAAGGGAGAGTGAGCCCTGACTGGTGTGGCTCAGTGGATAGAGTGTCAGTCTGCGGACTGAAGGGTCCCAGGTTCAATTCCAGGGGGTGTGCAGGAGACAGCCAATCAATGATTCTCTCTCATCATTGATGTTTCTCTCTCTCCCTCTCCCTTCCTCTGAAATCAAAAATAGATTAAAAAAAAAAAAAGAAAAAAAAGCAAGAAATATTCAAGGTGATGAATAGTAAAAACCTACAGCCAAAAATAATCTACCCAGCAAAGCTATCACTCAGAATCGAAGGCCAGCTAAAGAGCTTCACCAATAAAAAAAAGCTAAAGGAGTTTATCACCACCAAACCAGAATTATATGAATTGCTGAAGGGGGTTATTTTGGAAGAGAAAATAAATAACGATAAAAACTATGAACAACAATTACGTAACCATAAACAAGTAAATCTAAAAGCCAAAAAAAAAAAAAATCTGATGAACAATATTAACTGTTGAATATAATAGAATCAGAGGTATGGAAGGGGAGTGAACTGATGATTCTCGGGGAAAAGGGGAGAGGTGGGTGCAGAAAGAGACTGAACATAAACTGTGCACCTATGGATGAGGACAATGGGGAGTGGGGAAAGGGAAGAGGGTGGGGTGGGAACCTTGTGGAGGGGAGCAATGGAGGGGGGGAAAATGAGGAACATTTGTAATAATATGAACAATAAAGATTAAAAAAATTTTTTTAAAAAAAGGGGGAGTGTGAAGGTAGCTCATGTAACAAAAAGTCTGCATATTTAAACCACAGGCTGCAGGGCTCACATGTTCCTTCCGTGGCCTGTCTCACACACCTCACTCCAGGCTCTCAATGAGGCAGCCCGCGGGCCCCAGAGCCGCCATGCAGCCTGGCCTGAACACCATGGATCTATGAGGCAGCACTGAGACCCACAGGCCAGGATGAGAACAGCTGCCTGGAGCAGGACACCTGGTCTCCAGGAGTAACTGCCAACGCTTCTTTCTCTGCCAGTCTGGAGGCAGCCATTGGCTGGGCTTCCCCAGGGGAGTAACTGCTAACTAGCTGCCAGCGACTCCCTGCCCCTGAGATTACCAGTGGCCAGAGGAGCTCACCTGGTCCTGCTGCAGATGGCCACCTGGGAGGGGAGGGCCTGGCCCTGTGCACATCCGCTCTGAGCCCTCCCGCCCATTCTGAGATCTGACTCATGGGCACATTTCCCCTAATGACGTGCAATAAGAAACTTAGTGCTGCATTAACTACCAAGTCAGTTCGGCAACACAAATTTATCTTTTCCTCACTAACCTAAAATGAGCCTAAAATTCTGTGAAAAACTACATTGTTGAAATACATGAAGTTAAAACTCTAAGAAGAAAAAACTGACACAAACAGAAATTTGTTGTAAAACAAAGATTGTACCGAATTACAAAGAAGGCAAGAAAAAGGTCCTGATTTTACAAGGTCAATAACTTTCAAGATTCCTTAAATGAGAAAAAAAAACTCAACTTTTTACTATGACACTTCATCTGATTCAGACCACAAACACGCTCTGATCAATACTAATCCCCACAATCATTAGCAATTCCCTACTCGAAATAACAAGGAAAATGCAAAACTTATAAGACAACTAGAGGCCCGGTGCATGAAATTCATGCGGGGTGTGTGTGTGGGGGGGTGTGTGTGTGTGTGTGTGGGGTGTGGTGTTCTCTCAGCCCAGCCTGCATCCTCCATCCTCTCCAATCCAGATCCCCTCAGGGGATGTCCGACTGCCTCTTGCAATCCGGGACAGCTGGCTCCTAACTGCTCACCTGCCTGCCTGATCACCCCTAACAGCTCCCCTACCAGCCCGATTGCCCCTAACTGCCTCTGCCTTGCCCTGCACCTGGGACCCAGGATTCCCCACTCTGGCTGGTCACAGGTACCTGGGACCCGGGCTGGCTTCACCCAGGCTGGCTTCAGCCACAGGAAGCTGTGGACGGGCGGCTTCACCTGGGCTGCTGCCACAGGTGCCTGGGACTGCTGGGCAGGCGGCTTGTCCCGCCCAGGCTGCAGCCTGGATGGTCCCATTCCTCTCTCTTGAGCTCATTTGTGCCTTGCTGGTCCCCATTTCTCTCTCCCCAATGTTGAGTGTCTGAGCCTGACTGCGTGAGGGCATGAGGACAGTTTGCATGTTAGCTCTTTATTATATAGGACAGCTGACACAAGTGGCCAACAGTGAAAGAGAAAACCAATGCCCCAGACACAGCTGCAACCCCTTGATGAGAATCAAGACTGGGGACAGGAAGGGCTGGTGACTGTGGAGGCCACATGCCACATTGTGTTAGAAGGCGCTTGAACTCACCAGTGAACTCGGCGCTTGGATAGGTTATCACAGGTAACTACCTTGTCTGGTGCCCACCTGACAGAGGTTAAGGTGCCTCCCCAAGGTCACAGGCAACCAGGAGTAGGCACATTGTGCGCTGTGACCCGTTCTGTTGGGGGCAGGCATGATGAATCCCTCACACAAGGCTGCCCTGGCTGCCTCTGTTCCTTCCATCCCCAGCTCAGCCTGGCTCACAGGGGGCAGGAAGCCTCACTGAACCGCATTCAGAGGGTCAGAGCGACTCCGTGGGGGCACGGTGCTACCCGGATCTTGGCCTTACCTGTCCTGGAAGAGGCGCAGGGCTTCATGGGCCCAGATCCTAATGAGCCCTTCCACAGGCAGCGTCTCCAGGGGCCTCAGGGCCTCAAAGATGCCCCGCACCCACCTCGTCATCTCCCGGGGGGAGTAGATATAGTGGGGCTGTGTGTCCTGGGTGAACCTCTCCTGCGGGAACCAGGAGAACGGAGTTACACGTGAGTCTCTTAAAACATGAAAAGTGGTCACAAGGTCAAATGCTGTGTAACATCCTTTTATTAAAAAGAACCTGGCCCCAGGAACACTTTAGGATGGATTAAATAGTGTTGGAGCAACTGGACAACTGTCCAGAACAAAGTTAGATCCAAGTGGCTCATTTTATGTTAGGAAAAAAAGAAAACCAACCTACAAAATATTCTTCTAAAAATATTTTTTTAAAATGAAATCTCTATGTTGAGCCTTTCTAGGCATGATTTTCATTAAAACCAGAACTGAAACAAAGAGAAAGATTTACAATGATGACAATGATTCTGTAGGAAAAACTACAATTACACACAACTGAAAACAACTTAAGAAAACTGGGGAAGTTGCTGCATGCCGCCAGCACCCCCAAAGGCCTGGGGCAAGATGGCTGATGGCCGGAAACGGGCCTTCTCCTCCCAGGGCCGGGAAAGGCAGGCACGCAGGCTTCCCCAGGGGTGCAGGGGAGAACGTGTGCTCATCCAGAGTCACTGACGCTTCTAACAGACATGAGGATGCCAACGAGGACACAGGCAGAGGCCTTGAGGTGGGGGTGAGTCCAGCCGAGAGCCGTGTGACGGCAGGTGCCCCCCAGACACTGTAGAACAATCACACAGGCTCTGTCTGCACTGTTCACAGCCCAGCCTCACAGGGAAAATGCAGGCAAGCAGCACAGAAACCTCTGCAGTCACCTGCGTGCGGAACGCTGGGCGACAGACTCTGGAGAAAGGCTCTTGGCTATACGAGGACTCGGAATAAAGCTCTGCCTTCTAGCAGAGCCCGCCCATGGCCGGGGGCGGGGGCGGGGAAGCCCGAGTACCTGTGACATGGTGTAGAACTCCACCATGGCGGCGGTGAGCGGCTCCGCGTACGTGCGCAGCGACGGGATGAGCCTCAGCATGGCCCGGTTGAAGGTGCCATAGATCTGCGTCAGGGAGGCGGGTCCTGGGTAATCGACGTACACCACAGGCACGTGACGCAAGAATCTGTGCAAAGACAGCGGCTCAGCCTCCCGGTGAGGAGCGGCGCCCCAGCGTGGTGCCCGTCCTGGGCCGGACCCACGCTGCTCCCTAACCACCTACACAGGCTTTACGCCAGTCACCTGAGGTCACAGCACACAGCTCAGGCCTGAGTCTGACACCTAACAGCAGATGCAAAGCACCTGAGAAAGAATTAAAGCCGGGAAAACAGTGCGGGCTCATTTCAGCCTCTTCCTGGCCCTGCAGAAGGTCTGGGCAGGTTACTGCTGCCCGAGGGGTCGATGCTTCCACCGCCAGTGCTTCCCATCGCATCGCACCGCAGTGCAGGAGCCCAGGAGGGGCCCCTACCTCTTTACGGTTAAACCAGATGCTGGTTGTGCCCATATACAGCCACCCTGGAATTCGCTCGTCAGGCCAGTGAGGTGGCAGAGCTGGGCATTACCTGTGAGAGAGAGGCTTTCTCCCGGGATCCGTGGGCGGATTACAAGCCCCGACAAACTGGATCCTCTCCAGCTTCACCCAGGTTTGATCGGAGGTTCGGTAAAAGCCTCCATGCTCCACCATCTGAGGGAAGCAGGAGGGTGGCACGTTAGGAGCACGCGGGCGAACTGGGGAGCAGGGCCGGCGGGCGCACACAGACCTGTCTGATGAAGGAGATGACCCTCTGCGTGCCGTACTTGTCCATGTCTGGCAGGTTGATCTCATCACAGAACAGCACCAGCCACTTGCCCAGCTGCACGGGGGCCAGGACGACGCCGTTGGGCGTGCGCCGGTACTCGCAGTAGTGGTCGAAGGTCTTGAGCAGCAGCTCTGGAGTGGTGGCGCTCGAGAAGTTCAGACCCACCACCTGCAGGCCGACGACACAATCAGGACCTCAGGGCCAAGCCACCGCGCCGGCCTCCGTCCCCCTGCCCCCTCCCGCCTCCTCACCTCCATGTCGGGCAGGGCCCGCAGGGCACTGAAGAGCGTCATGGTTTTGCCGGACCCGGGGGGGCCGCACAGGACCAGGGGCTTGTGCTCGGCCAGCCAGGTGTACAGGAGGGCTTCGTGGCGCACCGTGTCCAGGGTCGGCACCACGACGTCTGGGGCCGCCACCTTGTGGGTCTCCACTTCGATCTGAGGCACCTTGGCCTGCCACGGGGACCACTCCCCGCTGATGGACACCTACACAGGGGGGCACAGTCACTCCGGGCCTGGGCCTCCTCACAAGGCATGCTGTTGACACAATCAGAACTTTCAAGCTAGTCCCCGCTCCTTACACAGCATGAATCTAAGAGGAGAAGCTGCTTCTATAAGCGGAGAGGGGAGTCCGAGTCCACAGCGAGGCTGTGCTGTTGGGGGAAGGCGCACTGACCTCGTAATCGATGATGGGGATGTTGGGTGCGGCGGGCAGAGGCACGGTGGTGATCCTCCTGATGTACTCGCCCAGCTCGGCCCTCATTTTCAGCCGGCTGTCCCCGGACAAGGACCAGAGAATGGCATAAACCAGATAGCGCTGTGGAGAGAGAAGCCGCTCGTTTCCTATCAAGTTCCCGCCACAGAGCAGATGCCCGTGCGACATTCACCCCGAGTGGCCCCTGACGCCCAGAGCGCCGCCCGACCTGGATGTAGCGCTCCAGCTGCTCGATCTGCATGGGGAAGTCGGGGTGGTTGGCGTTGTACTGGGCCACGTTGCGGCAGGCCTGGTGCAGCATGGAGAAGAGGGAGCCCAGGCAGCGCAGGCGCGTCAGGTCCATGATGTGCTCCAGCTTGAAGGCGTGCTCCAGGGCCTTGGTGACCAGGCCGTTGGACGTGAAGTACGGCTGCATGATGGTGGCCGCGTCCCTTTGGATCTGCGAGAGGAAGAAAATGGCGCGAAACTCATTTCAAGAGTATGGGCATTGTCAGTGCTTCTAATCTAGGCCCGGGGGGGTCACCTGACCCGGGGGGAATATATTCAGGATTAAAAAATGAAGGATGAGCTTCAATGACCAATCCTCATCCCTTCATCCTGATGGTCCTTAAACACCACGTTTCTTGGGAACCCTGGCTCCCACCTCCCGAGTGAAAGGGCAGGCGTTCATCAGTCTGCGGCGGGAAGGAAGCGCACAGAGGGCTCCCCACGCTCTCCCACAGCCTTCGCTTTGGCAGCTGCAGCGGCTGGTGTAACACAGACCTCAAGGGAGTGCCTGGCTTCCGCAGTGCGCACGTGTGCGGGACACACACACGCACACCCCCCTCGGACCCGGGCTCGCTGGGCCTACCTGCAGCATCGGGGACGCGGCCTCCTCGCCCTCGTCCTCCTTGCCCTTGCGCCGGCGCTGGGCCTCGTCCTCCCCTTCGTCCAGGGGGATGCTGCGCAGCCGCGCCAGGAAGTTGTTGAAGATCATGTCTGTGCTGAGCACGTCCTCGCTGAACCAGACCATGCCGCAGCGCGACACGGTGGCCAGGGTGGCGTACTTCAGGTCCTGCACTTCGAACATTATCCGCACCTGGAGGGACACATCGAGCAGGTGGAATGATGCGCGTCTGGTAGAAACCTGATGTGACAATTCTTTTTCCTATGCATGCCCGGAAAAGTGATTTCTATCCACCTTGTCCGCACTTAGTTTAAAAGAAAAAGTGACTGTAGTTCATTCGCATCACTACAACCTCCACTAACTCTCCCGAGAACCCGGGCAGGAAGTGTGGTGAGGAGAGCGTGGCTCTTGGAGGAGAAGCCGTGGCGCCGGGACGAGGACGCCAGCAGTGAGACCCCTGCTCATCGGCCCAGGCTCCCGCAGGAGCCCGCTCAGCCTGTGCCAGTGCCCGGGGCGGCGCGCAGCGTCTCCAGGTTAGACGGCTGGGGCTTCCCCAGGTCCCTCAGCCACCAGAGGGTGAGGCGGAGATTCGGACCAGATGCCCAGACCAGAGCCCCCCCCCGGTGCTCACGTGGCTCCAGGAGAGCAATCTCTCTCCGACAACAGTTAGCCTCTGCTGGACAGCGCACTCGGAGAAGCACCCGAATGATCACATCTAGACACGTGTCCGAGTGGGCACAGCTGCGGCAGCCAAATACCTGCCATGCTCAGCTCCTTTCTCATACCTGCTGCTGGTGGCCCATCAGCCACTCCCTACACCTTCACTTCCCACCCACCCCCACAGCTCCGCCTGGGGTGCCGACAGCCTCCAAAGGTCCCCTTGCTCCCAGCCTGTCCTCCAACCAGCAGCCAGAGGCTCTTTGGCACAAACAGGACACTGTCCCGACAGACTCTCCCATGCTTCTAGCTCGCCCAGCGGGCAGGCTCCGTCTTCACAAGGACCCGAGGCCCATGTCCTCTGTGATCTCACTGCCTTTGCCCCTCATTCTTCCACACCAGCCGCTGCCCCTTGCTTTCCTCGCACACGCTGGCACCTGCCACTTCTCCTTCTGCCATCTGTTCCTTCACCCAGAACGCCCAGAAGCCCACAGGGCTGTCCTCACCCCTCAATCCCCACTAAGACCTACCTTCCCAGTGACGCCTTGGCCACCCCAGCCAGCAGGGCAGCCTCCACCTGCCACCAACACAGCCTGCCCTCTCCCAGCGACCTGTCTGCTCACACCATGGCCTCTTGGCTTGCCCATCTGTCTTTCCAGCGACTGTGAGCCTCAGGACAGCAAGGGTTCTGTCTACGCTCCTTATTCCTGCACGTTCTGCATCTAGAATGGGCCACACACAACGGCTCCAAAAACGCTGGGTCAAGAATGACGTGAACCCACAGCAGGCCTGCCCCCCGTTTCTGCGTCTGCAGGCGGTGTGCTCAGGGCCTGATCCAGTGCTCACCCCCAGGGACAGCCGTGACAACACCGCTATGTGAATCCCTCAGGTGCCACTTCTCATACAAGCAGCTTCGGAAACCCTCCCTCCAACCCCCTCCCGGGGCCGTGGCGAGGGCTGAGGTGCTGAATATTCATGAGCTGCTTATAAGCCTACGAAAGGCTTCTCACTAGCCCTGGGCGTGAATAACCCAGGGAGCAGGCTGACTGAGAGCTATCTGCCCAACCAGCTGCTCCCCCCGGAAGCCAGGGCAAAGCCAGGGCCGGGCTCCTCGGGAGCTCGGCCTGCAGCTGGGCCGGGCCGGGCCGGCCGCGCCAGAGGAAGTGCCTACGTTGGGCGGGAGGCTGAGGCGCTCGCCGTTGGGCAGGGTCAGGAGCTTGTTGTCATCCAGCACCGAGTTCAGGTTCTCCACCCACTCGGGGTCCACGTCGCCATCGAAGATGACCCACTGGCGCTTCTGCAGCTCGCCACGCACGTTGTCGATGATCCTGTGGGAGGTCACAGCTGGGACTCAGTCGAGAATTTAAGATTTCAAATGCTCGCCCTGCAAAGGTTTCTCAGCTGACTGTGTAAGTGGCTCACACTCGGGCTGGACAAAGCGCCGGTCCCACTGGAACTCACTGACCGAGCGACTTACTTTCTCAGGACGTGTGTGAACAGCCCATCGGTCCACTCCCGGGTGTTGGGGTCCAGGGTGCCGTACAGGTGGTCTTTGCTGATGGCCTTGGGGTCGATGATGTGGGCCACGCCTTCCACCCCCTCGAGTCTCTCCAGAGCCTTGAGAAGAACGCGCCAGGCCATGCTCTTCCCGCTGCCCGAGGGCCCCACCATCATGAGGCCGTGGTTGATCTGGGTGATCTGGTAGAGCTGGAGGACCTGCGGGCAGACAGAGCACGTGACCCTCCAGAGAGGACAGCGAGTTCTCCAGCCACTTCCCGTGTCAACAAGCAAGAAATGTGCGGTGTGGCTTCTTAAAGGCAAGTACTGGCACTTCCATTTTTTAATCCTTACCAGAGGATATGTGTGTATGTGTGTTTTTTTGGGAAGTGGGGCAGGAGAGGGGAGAGAGAGAGAGAAACATCAATGAGAGAGAATCATCGACTGGCTGCCTCTTGCACACCCCCTTTACGGGGGACGAGCCTGCAACCCAGGCATGTGCCCTCTACTGGAATTGAATCCGGGACCCTTCAGTCCACAGGCTGACGCTCTGTCCCCTGAGCCAACCAGCTAGGGCAGCACTGAAACTTTTTTAAAAAAATACATATATATATTTTTTTTTAAGTTGATTTTTTACAAAGAGGAAGGAAGAGGGATAGAGAGTTAGAAACATCGATGAGAGAGAAACATCGACCAGCTGCCTCCTGCACACACCCTACCAGGGATGTGCCCTCAACCAATGTATATGCTCTTGACTGGAATCGAACCTGGGACCTCTCAGTCCACAGACGGACGCTCTATCCACTGAGCCACACTGGTTTTGGCAGCACTGAAATGTTTTAACCAGAGACACTTCACACAACTATTTGATAAGGGCTGTAACTACACTGTGGAGAGCCCCTCGGTGAGTCAGGAAGGTGGGGCCAGTGGAATGGGAGACACGGACCCAGTTGCCTGACAGACATGTAAGCCCCGCCCCCCAGGAGGGGAGATGGTAGTGCTCAATGCAGGCAGTGCTCGCAGGCGCAGTGCGCACAGTGGGAGCAATACCCTTTTCCTTGTGAGCCTCCCAGCGGAAGGAAGAGGGCAATGCAGCGTGACAGCCATGAGCTGGTTAGAGACATACGCTGTCAGCCCTGGTGCTAGAAAGTCTTATAAATAAAGCTCTTACTGGAGTAAACATCTTCAGTTACAAATCACGCCCTTAGCCAGCTCTTTTAGAGAATGAACTATCTCACATAAGTAGAATTCTCAGGTAAGTTTTGCTCTCTCTACATTTAAGTTAAGAAGAGAGCACAGTCCTGGCGGGTGTGGCTCAGTGGGTTGGGCCTCACCCAGTAAACCGAAAGGCTCAATCCCGATGTGCCTGGGTTGCGGCTCAGTCCCCGAAGGCCCAGTCAGCAGGAGGAAGGCGATTGCCGTCTCTCCCTCTCCCTCCCTTTCTCTAAAAGTCAATAAACATAAATCTAAAAAGAGAAAACAGTCCGCACAGGCGTGAAGCCAACCATAGAGCAGCAGGCCCGGCTTCGGACCGCTCACGTTCTCATGGTGTGCGCGTCCCAGTGTCATGGCCGCAGCCGCCCCGAAGAGAACAATCCAGTACCTTTTCCACCCACATGCCGCCGACTTCTTCCCCGTCCCCATACGTCAGGTACATCTCCTGGCACACTTTCTTCAGCTCCTCCCGCAGCGCGGTCATCTCCCCGCGGTGGTACTGCACGCCGGGGAACACGTCCGACAGGAGGCTGAAGAGCAGCGGGATGTCCTCCGCCACCAGCTTCGGCACCATCGTCTCACAGACGCTCTGGATCAGGATCTGTGGGGGAAGGGCGAGCACGTCGCACTGCACGTCTGGCTGGGCCGTGCGTCCTGTGGACGTCGGTCCCCAGTGCACATGCCTGGCCCCGAGCCTCCGCATGGCTCAAGGTGGAGGGAAGTCTAACCAGTGCCCCAGGCCTCGGGCTGAGAGGACGTGTGCACGAACCTCCTGTTCAGGTAGATTCTCCGCAATCTCGCCTTCATCCACTACTTCGCCTCGCTCTTCCTTCTCCCTCTTTATCTTCTGAATCCTCTCCCTCTTCACGTTGCCCGCACTCACCAGCACACTCTTCAAAGCTCGGAGCCCAAAGTCGTAATGGCTCTGGGAGGAGAGCTGCTCGTCACACAGCCTAGAAGAGAGCGTCTTCTAAAAACCGCGCACCTGACGCAGCGAGAGCTGCTACACAAGATGCACGTCATCGGAGGTAAAGGGCACACGGGGCACCCGCGAGAAGCACGATGATGGGTAGCCGAGCTACTCACTTGAAGAAGGGGACGATTTTGTTGGCGAGGACTTCAGCCGTGCGGAAGCCCTGGGAGTACAGCATGACCTGGGCGATCAGCTGCCGGTCGGGCTTGGTCATGGCCAAGCTCCGGAACAGCTTCTTCAGGTTGTCTGGGAGGTTGGACCTGCCCGCGTAGCCAGGGTTCATGGTGATGAAGATGGCCATGTCCGGGCTCACTTTGACTTGTTTGTTCAGCAGCTCACAAGTAATGGGGGCAGAGGCTGAAAATCAGGTGACAGCGTCAAGACTCAGGATGTTCAAAAGCTATCTAAAAATCTCTGAAGTTACAAAGCACCATTCCCCCTCCCGGCCTCCAGCCCACAGCCCACGGCTGCAGGGAGCCGCTTCTGGCCTCTCCACAGGCGCCACCTCCCCACACCTCACCCGCGGACGTGCCCGACCGTGGAACAGATCGATCCCTGGGCAGGAAGCCCTGCCTGGGTGTGCGACACCATGTTTCACAGGCCAACGCTACACTCACTAGAGGTGCAGTCTAAGGACGGCTGCAGAAATGACACCAACCCAAGTGATTTCGTTCATGGCTGGCTGGCTTCGCCCACGAGTTACCCTTCCTGATGGTTAAAAACACCCACACTGCGCCTCGCGGGGGGCATGCACCTGCTCCAGAGCAGCGAGCACACTGGCACTGATTTCGCTGATTCTATCTGCTTTCTCTAGGAGGTCTGGGCATGGTTCCCTAGGACAGTTACTATTACTCCGGGGTAAAAGGAAACACTGCAAGTTGAACTGTGCACACAAACTACCCAATATCGCCACGTGGGTGGATTCATCCCAACGTGCCCTCCCTTCGCGGTGATGCAGCCCTCAGAGCTCCCTGCAGGCGCTCCTATCATGACATTCCCACGCTCCGCGGACACCTGGCCAGACAGATGTTGAGGAAGGCTGGCTCAGGGAGGGGAGAGGGAGCACCAGGGCTCACACAGGCACGCGCTGTGGGAGGGGCACAGGAATGCTCAGGTTGGGCTGCTCTGGGAAAAGCCGTGCACACTGCTGATGTGGAGACAGATACCCTGGGCTTCCCTTCCATCTGCACTCGGGACTCACGCCTGCCTGCAAGTGAGTGCTGGGAGCTGATGAAATGCTCCCTCACTCCCGACCAAAGCCAGTCCCCGGGGCATTCCCCCGCGTTCTGAGTGGCCGTGCAGGAAGGAAGCCTTACTCTTATCGAAGTTGGGGTTGGAGTGCTCCCGCAGCGCTTCCTGGATGCACTGCACCTGCTGGGACACGGCCGACAGCATCCGCTCCTCCAGGCGGTTGAACTCGTCAAAGCAGCCCCACGCTCCCACTTGGCAAAGGCCCACAAAGATGCGCCCCATCGCCTGCAACAGAAAAACAAACACGCTGAAACCAGCTGCCCCGGGCTGGCTCCAATCCTGCCTGCAGTGACCTGTCCCACTCAATCCTGGGCCAGTGCCATCTGGGAACCCACGTCTGCCATCTCTGATGTGGGACTCAGCACCTCCGTCCCAAGGTGGCTGTGAAGGTGTATCATGTTCACAGGAGAGGCGAGGGCCCGCCCACCACAGCAAGAGCTTCGTCAACAAGAGGGGTCCTTAGTGGACAGAGGAGGGGCCATCACACGTTTTCCTCTTGTGCCCAAGGCCTACTGACAAAGCCGTCCTTTGTATTCTATCACTTTCTGTTGGTTAAAAACTTTTTTTAAAAAAATATTTTTATTGATTTCAGAGACGAAGGGAGAGGGGGAGAGAGAGAAACATCAATGATGAGAGGCTACCTCCTGCACACCCCACACTGGGGATCAAGCCTGCAACCCAGGCACGAGCCCTTGACTGACAACAAACCTGGGAACATTCAGTCCTCAGGCCGACGCTCTATTCACTGAGCCAAGCCAGAGAGACACAAGCACGGTATCCCCACCTGACCCTCTCAGCCATCCAATTTTGCGTGGACCCCACAAAGCTTCTCACCTGGAAATCAAAGGTTTCGTCACAGTTGAAAACCAAAACAAAGCGTCCCAGCTGATGGCCCAGGGCCTTGACAGACTCGGTCTTCCCGGTCCCAGCAGGCCCTGTTACAGGAAGAAGGTGCCTCAGTGCCCGAGTCCATCACTCAGTGGGACTCAGCTTTAGCTTTAAGACAACTGTAAAAAGCAACTCAATTTAAAAAGTAGATGTAAAAAATAAAGACAAGTTTAGTTTTTAGAACACAATAGCCATGTGATTAGGAAATAGATGTGCTGATTTAAATTCACTGAAACCATTCCAGCTTTAAAAATGATGTCCAGGATGATGGTCACTTACCAAACGGGGACCCGCCCAGCCTGGCCTCCAGGGCCTGCGTCATGGTCAAGTAGCAGCGGTCAGTGAGGGGCGTCTGCACCAGCTTGTCCTGGACTCCCAGGTACTCAAAGCCGTAGTTAAACTTGGCGTTTGCCATTTGGATGGACAACTGCTGCAACACGTCCGTCTGCTTAGGGTCGAAGTAAAACCGCATCTGGCGAAGCCATTCAAAAGACTTGCTGTTGTCGATCTTGCTTTTGATCAGGGCCCGGGTGACGTCTCTCTGGTGAACCAGCTCTGTGATCTGCAGAGAGAGCCCAAGAGAGCGCGTCATGGCTGAGCAGGGCTGTGCTCTGTGGGCGTGTGGATTATTTGGGAGTTTGCCTTCACTCCACTCCATGGTGCTCATTCGCTTTCAGAAACGCTGGTCATGCAGTGTGATTAGAGTCAAAAGTGGCAACCAACATGAAACACCTGCTAAGTACAAACTCTGCAGCCAGCAGACACCCCCGGGAGAGCAGCTGTCCCTGTCCGCAGACTCTCTGCTGCACTGGGGGCGCAGAGCCATGCCCACCTCACCGGGCCTGCCGACCTGCCTCCGCGACTCCTTGGAAGGAGAGGATGAGGAATGCAAGACCCAGGTCAAGGGCACCACCTCCCTTTCACCAGGAGGATGGTGAATATGTAACCTGTGCTTCACCACATTATTTTCGAGGGGAACACAGAGCCCCATACCCAACTAGGGCCTCTCTGTCTGCTACCTACTGTTCTCACTGGTGCACATAGAATATTTTCCAAAAAGGATTCAACTGCTCGAGTTGAAGGCACAGAGTCTGGCGGGGAGGGAATGAGTCAGGCATGGGACTGACCAAGTGCTCCAGCTTCCGCCGGCGCAGCGGGGGCTGCTCCATGAGCACCGAGTCGGCCAGCACGTTGAGGGTGACCTCCACGTTGCTCAGCACGGACTGCAGGGTTGCTGTGTCCCCGTTCCCGCTCAGGGCTGTCTCCACATTTTCAGACCAGGCGATCTGGGCTGACAAAACCACAAGCTGGGCCTGAAAGACACGAGACACAAGGTCCAAGAGGGTTGTTTTAGAGATCAGCCTGCCCTCACCCACAGCCACCCCATGTCTACACCGTGTTACCTGGTATTTGTCGATCCAAGTGATGTAGGTATTGGGGTCGATTGAAGTCGCTTTACCAAAAATCTCAACCTCCGTCACAGACTCGGCCAGGAGCTTGGCCAGTGTGACTCTCATCTCCTTCTCTACCAGCGTGAGCCACTCGTTGATTTTGGGATGCTCGGTAATTGACACGGGAGTTTTAAATATAACCTGAAATAAGTGAAATCTAAGAATTAAGATGTGCAAAAATGGGACAGAAACTTTCTAAGAGGCAAGCCCCAGCGCACTACCTCCTCTCCTTCGCGGGATGAAATGCCCAAGACGACAGTGTTGTCCTCGTTCAGGATAATGCTGGACACACCGGCGAACATTTTCTTGAAATGCTTCTGTAACTTAGCTACATTCTTGCTGTTTCCAATGATTTCAAGCAAATCTTCGTCACCCACAAAATAGAACCTACAATGGAAACAGCATCCATGTTCCTCAGATGTCACACAGACAATAAGGGGAATTGGGACACAATGCCAGACTGCAGGTGCGTCTGCAGTGCTGCCCAGCCTCAGCCTGGACTTGTCACACCCAAACTCCCCCAGCCCCCAGCAAACGTCCACCCTCACCCAATAAGACACCAAAGAGGAATTCGATAAACCTGACATCACGCACCTTACTTCACAAACTCAGTTTTTAAAAAACCTGTCTGATTTACACTAAGCAAATTATTCAGAAAAGCGATGCCACTCAGAAAATAATCATCACGGTGGGGAGGAGGAAAATGGCGGAAGACTAGACAGATGGGTTCTGAGCCTTGTCCCGAAGCAGAAAGAGAGTAGCTGAGGGTTGCGCTGGGAGTGTTTGTCAGCAAGCTAAAGGACAAGCGAACTCCAGGAGAAGGCGGGGGACTGCTGGTCGGGGTTCCCCTGACAGGGAAGCACCCACGGCGGGGCTGGGTCCCCTCCCGGAGCTACCTACAGGCTTCGACGGGGAAACCTCGCCATCTTTAAAGGAAAAATGGATCTTGCCAGAGGCCTGAATATCCACAGCCGCAGAGACTGCTGAGCAGCTGTGAGCCCCAGAACACCGGTCCCAGGTGGCGTGAACACTTGGACTCAAAGGAGCTCTCCACTGGACCACGAAAAGGTCAGATTTTGTGGGGAGAGGGTGAGTCCCGGCGGAAGACAGCAGCGCGGGTCGCCCAGAAGCTGAAGGACTGGCGCAGTGTTTGCAAGGAGAAGCCCGGGCTATTGGGCTGGTGTGACCCGTGATTGTGGAAGGGGCTCCTAATAGGAGGATCTCTAAAGAGCAACCCGTTTTGATCTGATGTGGAGGGATAGCCAGTGAGTTTCAGGGGAGTACAGTTGGCTCGGACTTGCCCACCAGCCTCCGCAGATCAGTTGAGTGTCACAGAGAAAAAAAAAGCTAGAGAGGCCTTAGAACCTTGGAAGTCAACCCAAAAACACTGCCACCTAGAGGCTAAAACACAAATTGACCCTAGTGTAATAAAAAATAACACCAGAAATTGAGGCAAGGCATGCTTAAAAATCAGGACTGGATTACAAGACTGAGGAGCAGTGAAATGCAGGGAACTGCAATACTGTCCGGACTGGGAATCAGGCATGCCAAACAGAACGATAGAGGAAGTGAATGACCTTTACTACTGCACGTTTTATTTAATTTTTTAAATTAAAAAATTTTTTTTAAAATATATATTTTATTGATATTTTACAGAGAGGAGGAAGGGAGAGAGATAGAGAGCTAGAAACGTCAATGAGAGAGAAACATCAACCAGCTGCCTCTTGCACCCCCCCGACCGGGGATGTGCTTGCAACCAATGTACATGACCCTGACCAGAATCAAACCTGAGACCTTTCAGTCCGCAGACTGATGCTCTACCACTGAGCCAAACAGGTTTCGGCAAATTTAAAAAAATTTTTTTTTAATCTTTGTCTTTATTTTCATTATTTGCAACATTTACTCAAGAAACTATTTTTTTCTTTTTTCCTCACTTGATTTTACCTTTTTAATTATTACATTTTTATTTGTAATTAGCATTACTACTACTACTGTTTTACCTTATTTACTTTTGTTTCTTTATTACTATTTTTTTAAACGTCATCATATTTGCTCTTTATCTTACTTCAGGATTAGTATTCTACAGTCTATTTTCACCTTTCGTTCACCAATGCTTTATTCTATCTCAACTCTACCTTTATGCCATCACTCTCTTCCTAACCTTTCCCCCTTTGGTGTCCTGTTTATCTTAACCCTTTCCTGCTCTAGATTTTCCCTATTCTTTCTGTTTACCCCCTGCTACAATTTCACCCTACTTGTGTATATCTAATTTCCAACCCCCTGCTCCAAGTCCATACACTCTTCCCTTTTTGCTGTCCTAAAAACACACACCAAAAAACAAACAAACATTTTTCTCTCTATCCTTTTGTAGTTGTATGTTGAATGTTAACTATATCGAAGTTTTATGCTTTTATGTGAGGTTGTCTTGTTTATTCTTTTTGTTTGATTGTATGTTTTTGTTAGCTGTGTTATAGATTATTTTTTACTTCTGCTTTCCATTTCCTCTTTCCTCGCTTGATATTAGTTGGTGTTGTAGGTTGTATTAATCTCGAGATACTTGTTGCTGGCATTTGTTGTGATTAATGGTTGTTCTATTGGAGTTTCCTCCCCATATATATAGTTAGTTCCTTGTTTCTCTCTTAGTATTGTTCTAGTCTCTCTCTATGATATTTCTCTCTCTCTCCTTTTCCCAATTTCATTTTGACACTTCTTTTTGATCTTTCTTTTTACTCTTCTATCTCTCCTACCCCCTAATTTGCCTTTCTCTAATGGTCACCTTTATTGGAGGTTATTAATATTGCAAATACATTTCTGTTCAGTGCCTTCTGTGTTGTACCTGGATGTGTTGTATTTTGTGCCTTTAAATCAATGCAGGAGAGAGAGAACTACATAACCAGACACCTGGAGAAGAGACAAAGAAACAGCCTGCATATGAAAGAAAAGCAGGCATCACCAGAAAAGGAAGTAAATGAGTTAGAGGCAAGCAACCTACCAGAGCAAGAATTCAGAAAAATGATCATAAGATGGCTAAAAACAATGGAAGACAAATTTGACAATATGAGTAAGAACCAAGAGGAAATGAAAAATGACATCGCTACTGTAAAGAACTCAATAGAAAGCATCAAGAGTAGACTAGAATAAGTACAACCAATGGACACAAAACTCTGGGGAGGGTGGATATGTAAAGGGGGGGCAATGGTAAAATATGTACACACATAATAATTTAATAATAAAAAAAAATGATTGCCGAAACCGGTTTGGCTCAGTGGATAGAGCGTCAGCTTGGGGACTGAAGGGTCCCAGGTTCGATTCCGGTCACGGGCATGTACCTTGGTTGCGGGCACATCTCCAGTAGGGGGTGTGCAAGAGGCAGCTGATCGATGACTCTTTCTCATCGATGTTTCTAACTTGCTATCTCTCTCCCTTCCTCTCTGTACAAAATCAATAAAATATATTTTTTAAAAAATGATTAAAAAAAAAAGAGTAGACTAGAAGAAGCAGAGGACTGCGTCAGTGAGCTAGAAGACAAGATGGAAAAAAAATACCCAATTAGAGCAGCTTCTAGAAAAAGAAAAAGAAAATTTAAAAAGCAGGAGGAGAGTCTAAGGGAACTTTGGGACAATACAAAACAGAACAATATTAGAATAATAGTGGTTCCAGAAGGGAAGAAAACAGATGGAGGCATGGAAAACCTGCTTCAAGAAATAATGACAGAAAACTTCCCTGAGAAGAAAAAATCCACACAAATCCAAGAAGCTCAGAGTCCCAAGCAAAATGAACCCAAAAAGACCGATGGCAAGGCACATTATAATTAAACTGGCAAACACCAATGACAAAGTAAGAATCTTAAAAGCAGCCAGAGAGACAGAACGTTACCTACAAAGAAACCCCCATCAGCCTAGCAAGTGATTTCTCAACAGATACTCATCAGGCCAGAAGAGAATGGAATGAAATATACAGTCATGCAAGGAAGGGTCAGAATCCAAGAATACTGTACCCAGCAAGGCTATCAATCAAAATTGAAGGTGAAATCAGGAGCTTCACAGAAAAAAAGAACTAAGGGAGTTTATTACCACCAAACCAGAAATGCAAGAAATACTGAAGTGTCTGCTGTAAAAAGAAAAAAAGAAATAGGAAGCGAAGAAGTTCGGAACACAGGGGTATAGAATAAAAAATGGTGACAAATAAATACCTATCAATAATAACTTTAAATATAAATGGATTAAATGCCCCAATCAAAAGACATAGGGTAACGAATTAGATAAGAAAACAAGACCCGCCGAAACCGGTTTGGCTCAATGGATAGAGTATTGGCCTGTGGACTGAAAGATCCCAGGTTCAATTCCGGTTGAGGGCATGTACCGTGGCTGTGGGAACATCCCCGGTTGGGAGGTGTGCAGGAGGCAGTGATTGATGATTTTCTCTCATCAATGTTTCTAACTCTCTATCCCTCTCTCTTCCTCTCTGTAAAAAAATCAATAAAATATATTAATATATAAAATATATTAATATATAAAATATATTAATATATAAAATATATAAAATATATCCATATAAAAACGAAAACAAGACCCATATATCTGCTGTCTACAAGAAACCCATTTCAGAAAAAAAGACGCACACAGACTGAGGGTTAAGGGATGGAAAAATTTTCCAGGCGAATGGAAATGAAAAAAAAAAAAAGCTGGGGTAGCAATACTTATATCTGACAAATTAGATCTCAAAGTGAAGGACATATCAAGTGATAACAAAGGCCACTTCATAATACTAAAGGGGGAAACCCAACAAGAAGAAATAACTCTGGTAAACATATATGCACCCAATACAAAAAACAAAAACAAAAAACTGCTGGAGGACATTAAGGGAGTGATTAATAGCAATATAATCATAGTAGGAGATTTTAATACCTCACTATCACCTTTGGACAAATCATCTAAACAAAAAAATCAGCAAAGAAACATCAATCCTAAATGACTCACTCACTAGACCAGATGGAATTAATCAACATCTTCAGAACATTTCACCCCAATAAACAGAATATACATTCTTCTCAAGTGCACATGGGTCATTTTCAAAGATAGACCACATATTGGGTCATGGGCAAAGTCTCTTCAAATTCAAGAAGATAGAAATCATATCAAGCATATTCTCAGATCATAGTGGCATAAAACTGGAAATCAACTACAATAAAAATAATCCAAAGAAATCAAACACATGGAGACTAAACAGCATGCTATTAAACAATGACTGGGTTACCAGAGAGATCAAGGAAGAAATAAAAAACATCCTGGCAACAAATGACAATGAAAACACAACAATCCCAAATCTATGGGACACAGCAAAAGCAGTCTTGAGAGGGAAGTTCATAGCTCTACAAGCCTACTGCAAAAAAACAAGAAAAAAATGGTAACAAATTATCTAACTCTACAACTCAAAGAGTTAGAAAAAGAGCAACAAGAAAAGCCCAGTGTAAACAGAAGGAAGGAAATAATAAAAATCAGAGCGGAGATAAACGACAGAGAGACTAAAAAAACAATACAAAAGATCAACAAAACCAAGAATTGGTTCTTTGAAAGGATTAACAAGACTGAGGAACCTCTAGCCAGGCTAACCAAGAAACAAAGCGAGAGGACCCAAATAAACAAAATCAGAAATGAAAGAGGTGAAATAACAACAGATCCCATCGAAATACAAAGGATTGTTACAAAATACTATGAACAACTGTATTCCAACAAACTGGACAACCTAGAGGAAATGAACATATTCCTAGAAAAATATAACCTTGTAAAACTCAATCAGGAAGAATCTAAACATCTCAATAGACCAGTGACTATGGGAGAAATTGAAGCAGTCATCAAAAAACTTCCAGCAAGAAAAAAGCCCAGGGCCAGATGGCTTCACAGGAGAGGTATACCAAACATTCAAGGAAGAACTAAAACCTAGCCTCCTCAGACTATTTCAAAAAATTTAAGAGAAAGGAACACTTCCAAATTCCTTCTATAAAGCCAACATCACCCTAATACCAAAACCAGATAAAGACAACACAATGAAAGAGAATTACAGGCCAATATCCCTCATGAACATAGATGACAAAATCTTCAACAAAATTCTAGCAAATAGGCACCAGCAGCACATCAGAAAGATCATACACTATGACCAAGTAGGATTTATTCCGGGAATGTAAGGATGGTACAATATCCTCAAATCAATAAACATGATACATCACATAAACAAATTGAGAGATAAAAATCATATAGTCATATCAATTGATGCAGAAAAAGAATTTGATAAAATCCAATACCCTTTCCTGATAAAAACTCTCAACAAGGTGGGAATAGGAGGATTATACCTCAACACAATAAAAGCTACATATGATAAACCCACAGCAAACAACATACTCAATGGGCAAAAACTAAAACCATTCCCTCTAAGATCAGAAACAAAACAGGGATGCCCACTCTCACCACTCCTATTTGACATAGTTCTGGAAGTACAAGCCATTGCAATTAGACAAGAAGAAGAAATAAAAGGCATCCAAATTGGAAAAGAAGAAGTAAAATTGTCCTTATTTGCAGATGACATGATATTGTACATAAAAAACCCCAAAAGATTCCATCAAAAAACTAAAAGACTTAAATGAACTTGGCAATGTAGCAGGATACAAAATCAACGCCAAGAAATCCATGGCATTTCTATACATCAATAGCGAACTTACAGAAAGAGAGACTAAAAAAGCAATCCCATTTAGATACCATCGCACCAAAAAAATTAAGATACCTAGGAATAAACTTAAGGAGGTGAAAGACCTATACGCAGAAAGCTACACGACACTGAAAAAAAGAGATAGAGGAAGATGTAAACAGATGGAAGAACATACCATGTTCATGGATTGGTAGAATCAACGTCATTAAAATGTCCATAGTACCCAAAGCAATTTATAGGTTCAATGTACTCCCCATTAAAATACCAATGGCATATTTCAGAGACCTATAAAGAACTCTCCAAAAATTCATCTGGATCAAAAGAAGACCTCAAGTAGCCACAGCAATCCTGAGAAAGAAGAATAAAGTAGGAGGCATCTCAATACCAGATTTCAAGCTGTATTACAAAGCCACTGTTCTCAAAACAGCTTGGTACTGGCACAAGAACAGACATACAGATCAGTGGAATAGAATAGAGAATCGAGATATCAACCTAAATCACTATGCTCAATATTTGACAAAGGAGGCAGGAACATAAAATGGAGTCAAGACAGTTTCTTCAATAAATAGTGTTGGGAAAATTGGACAGATAGATGCAAAAGAATGAAACTAGATCACCAATGTACATACACAAAATAAACTCAAAATGGATACAGGACTTGAACATAAGACGGGAAACCATAAAAATACTAGAGGCATCCACAGGCAGCAAAATCTCAGACATATGCCTAAAGAACTTCTTCACTGATACTGCCCCTAGGGCAATGGAAGCTAAAGAGAAAATAAACAAATGGGACTACATCAAAATAAAAAGCTTTTTCACAGTAAAAGAAACCATCAACAAAGCATCAAGAAAGCCCTCTGTATGGGAGAACATATTTGCAAATGTTATCACTGATAAAGGTTTAATCTCCAACATCTACAGACAGCTTATACTTAATAATAAATGATCCAATAAAAAAAATGGGCAATGGACCTAAATAGAATTTCAAAAGAAGACAGAAGGAAGGCCAAGAGGCACATGAAAACATGCTCAAAGTCACTAATTATCCAAGAGATGCAAATCAAAACGACAATGTGGTACCATCTCACACCTATCAGAATGGCAATCATCAAATCAACAAATGACAAGTGCTGGCGAGGATGCGGAAAAAAAGGAACCCTTGTGCACTGCTGGTGGAAATGCAGACAGGTGCAGCCACTGTAGAGAACAGTATGGAATTTCCTCAAAACACTGAAAATGGAACTCCCATTTGACCCAGTAATCCCACTCCTAGGAATATATCCTAAGAAACTAAAAACACCAATCAGAAAGGACATATGCACCCTTATGTTCATAGCAGCACAATTTACAATAGCTAGAATTTGGAAACAGCTTAGGTGCCCGTCAGCAGATGACTGGATCAATAAACTATGGTACGCCGAAACCGGTTTGGCTCAGTGGTAGAGCGTCGGTCTGCAGACTGAAAGGTCCCAGGTTCGATTCTGGTCAAGGGCATGTACATTAGTTGCGGGCACATCCCCAGTAGGGGGTGTGCAAGAGGCAGTTGGTCGATGTTTGTCTCTCAAACATCGTTTCTAGCTCTCTATCCCTCTCTCCTCCTCTCTGTAAAAAATCAATAAAATATATTTAAAAACAAAACAAAACAAAACAAAAAAACTATGGTACATCTACACAAGGGAATACTATGCTGCCATAAAAAAGAAGGAATTCTTATCATTTGCAGCAACCTGGATGGAATTGGAGAACATTATGCTGAGTGAAATAAGCCAGTCAATGAAAGAAAAACACCACATGATCTCCCTCATTTATGGATAAGAAGAAACATTATAACTGATGAACAAAAAGATAGATACAGAGACAGTAAACCAACAAACAGACTGTCAAATTACAGTGGGGAGGGGAGTGAGATATGGGGAAGATAAGAGATCAACCGGAAAGACTTATATGCATGCATATAAGCATAACCAATGGACGCAAAACTCTGGGGAGGGAGGGCATGATTGGGAGTGGGGGGGGGGGGGGATTGGTAAGATATGTACACATATAATACCTTAATAAAAAAAAAAGAAAAAGAAAAGAAAACAAAGAAAGAAAATAATCATTGCTAAATCTGTAAGCAATGCAAGCTGCCTGGAGGGTGGGGCGTTTAAAGGAAGCCTAGTAAACAAATCCAGGGAGGAAATTAAGGATTATGTTATACTTAGGAATCAGTGTGTGGAAGGGAAATGGTCCTGATTAAATGGATGATCAGCGACAAAACCCTTGAGGGCAAAAGTGAGGGACTCAGGCCCGGAAGGGAGGGGGGCCGGGAGCAGCACAGCGGAAGTCTTACCGGGGGAAAGATGACCGCTCCCTTTCCAGGTACTCGCCCAGTGCTTTCTGGATCTTCCCCAGCAGGTCTGCCAGCCTCTCCAGAGACCTCTGCACCCCCTGGATGTTGAGAACATCCATCACCAGAGGAGACTTGGATACTTTTTTCATGAGCGCCAAAAACTCCGTGCTGATGCTAAAGAAGGGTTGAAGCCGAGGTCAGCCTCGGTGTGAGGAGTGGCCCCCAGCCCGCCTCAGCCATGGGGAGGCCCTACCTCTGGAACCGCTGGGTTTCCACGGGCAGCAGGTGCTTGATGTCCGCGCTGCCCGTGAAGATGCCTTCCAGGTAGACCCAGCGCCTCTGCACGTCGATCCACACGTCAAAGAGGGCCATGATGCGATTCAGCTTGTCTTCCCAGCTCAGGGCGTCCTCCTCGAAAACCTGGCGGGCAGGCGGAAGGAAGAGCTCCACCACTCACGTCCGTCCCCAGCAGACAGGCAGCCTCAGGGCAAGAAGCGCCTGGTTGCCTGGCTCACGTGCACAGCAGGCCAGGACTGCCCTCTGAGGCACTGCAAGGCCAGAGCAGGGGAAGCCCCGAGGGGGAGGGATGTTCCCCCACACGGTACCTTGTAGTACGGAGACAGCTTCATGGCAGAGACGCTGTTGATGTGCTCTTTGACCTTGTTGAAGAGGTCGTCCCAGCCGCGAATCAAGCGACACTTGTTCTGATAGTTAACCAAGTCCAACTCGTACGTGTTCCACACTTCTCTTATCTGCATCAAAACCAGAGAGAGGCAGGTCACCACAGTGTGGGCACTCACCACCTGCATGGCTACCACGTGTTGACAGGGACACAGAGGACCCCGGATGGGGCTCCGTTGTTACACGGCGAGAGTCTACGCCACAGCCTGAAATATGACAAGGAGGTGCGGCCCGTCCCAGTGTTCACCTGCTTCAAAAACTCCTCCAGTGCCATCTCTCCTTGCGCCACGAGCAGCACGTCCTTCACGATGGCTTCGTTCTTCTGCAGGTCGACATCCCAGATCTGCCCGAGGGTGAGCTCAGACACCACCCAGTTCACGTGCAGCCTCTTCATCAGCTGCTTCCAGTGGCGATCCTTCAGGGCCTCGGACTTCAGCTCAATCACCAGCATGTTGATCTGTGGAGAGCCAGCAAGTCACCCAGAGCAGTGCTTCCCCGTGGGCCCCCTCCCCTCCCCGACTGCAGCGCCGTCACCCACCTTCAGGTAGCCTTTGAGGAGCCGCTGGACGAACTCGTAGGACGCGTACTGCCGCAAGCGGGCGGGGAAGTTTTTCAGCTGGTTCAGGAGGCCATCTAAGTTCTGTCGAAGCTGTTGTGAGAGAAGCCATGATCCCGTGAGCCAACCCTCCTCACGTGTTAAAAACGGTTGTAAAAGAAATGTCAGATTGGGGTGGATGAGCAGTGCAAATGACACATGGGGGTTAGGTGACACCCTGTGGTCTCTAGGGAAACTGTCACTCCAGGGCCGGAAGGCACACACGACACTACTGAGATGTACCTTCCGAGGCTGCACCGACACCCACGGCTGCTCCTTCATCTGATCAATCTGCTCCCAGACCTTGGAGAGCTCTGACCAAACGCCCTTGAGGTCCTGTAATTCCTCCAGGGCCACCTGTGAGCCAGAACAGGAAGGCAGTGAGACTGGATACAGAGCCCGTGTCAGAATGCAGCGGGTCAAGGGCAGAGAGAGCCAGGACGAGGAGCTGTCCCTGCCTCCCCGCAGGTGGCTCATACCTGGACGCGCTCTTCACTGCCACTCAGGAGTCCCGTGTCCGTCAGTTCCAGCGCCTCCTTGGCCTTCGCACACTTCTCCCGGTCGTCCTTCAGCCTGCCGAACTTGCCCTCGTAGATGGTGAGAGCCTGCAGCGCCTCCTCCGGGCGGAGATTGCCCTAAAAGCACAGAGCAGGGGGTTGCAGGGCTGTGTCCAGGACAGATGGACACTGCGGCTCCAAGGGGGGCAGGAGCCTGCTGGAGTCCTGACATTGTGGTTCTACTTCTGAGCGCCCTGCTTACGTCCACATCAGACAAACAAAAATGTAAGAAAGGAAGGTGGGGCGCCTCTCAGGTCAGCCATCGGCTCATGGGGGACGGGAGAGAAGACTGACCTGGGGACACTGGATCTGAGGGGCCTGCAGCCACAGACATGCAGCTGTCCCATCGGTTCCTGAGAGAAGCCCAAGAAACCATGCAAGGCTCTCCGTGGGATGGCCTCCCTCAGCATTCGCTCCCTCCACACACTTCCTCCCAAGTAATGACCTTGGGAATGACTGAAACGTCCGTTACAATCCTGACTACGACACATCCCCAGCAGGTGGGGAGAGCCATTCAGGTGTTGGTGACCAGTGCTCACTCCCTCACCAGACCTCAGAACAAGGGCTCCTTGAACCAGTCAAACATAAGGACGTCTGGGCCCATCCACTGGGACAGGGCTGAGGGCAGGCAGAGCCCCGCCTGATGGGTGGTGGGGGCTACCCGGCCACCAGGCAGGCCTGCTGTGGAAAAGCTGTACCCTCAAACATAAGACCAGGGTAACATTCAGGGCACTTTAACATCTTTCTTGCCTATGCTTACATAATTACATCCCTCAACGGGTGAGATTTCATCTCCGCTGTGACCATCTCACCAGCCTCAAACACGCTCCCCTCAGCCTGGACCCCCTGCCCCTCAGGCGCCTGTAGGACTTGCCAGCGCCCCTCGCCTGGGCTCCCCGCAAACGGCACCTCCCCTGACAGCAGCACACCACCCATGCCCACCTTCCCACAGCACATGGCACCAAGATAAGTATATGCTTGCCTGTATTTATCATCTTTCTCCCCCGGGAGTGTGGCTCTGTGAGGGAGGTCCTGGTCTTTTCTTTTTTCTTTTTTTAATATATATTTTTTATATTTATTTATTTATTTGTTTGTTTGTTTATTTATTTATTTAACAGAGAGGAAGGGAAAGGTATAGAGAGTTAGAAACATCGACGAGAGAGAAACATCAACCAACTGCCTCCTGCACATTCCCCACTGGGGATGTGCCTATTTATTTATTTAACCGAGAGGAAGGGAAAGGTATAGAGAGTTAGAAACATCGATGAGAGAGAAACATCAACCAGCTGCCTCCAGCACATTCCCCACTGGGGATGTGCCCGCAACTAAGGTATATGCCCTTGACGGGAATCGAACCTGGGACCCTTCAGTCCGCAGGCTGATGCCCTACCCACTGAGCCAAACCAGCTAGGGCTACCCCTGTCTTTCTGTTTACTGCTGTATCCCAAAGCCCACATAATGCCTAGAACACAGGGGAACTCGACAAATACTGGATGAACCAAGAGGACCAGAGATGGCAGGTCCTGGGTACAGATAGTCACTAACTGTGACGTCGATGACAGAGAACCAGCCTTCCCATGACAGAGAGCCTGCAGCAGCAGGAGGCTCGGCTTGCGTCCACGAGAAATTAAATGCCAATTTTTGAGTTCATTTAAGTAAGAGGATAACGTAAGAACAGAAAATCTTTAAAACCATCTCCTGACTGTCATGAGGGAGGGGTTCAGGGTCAAGAGATGGAAGTTGGCACTTAAGTTTCCAACTGCTCTTTCTGTAAGTTTTGTTTTCTTAATTACAAAAGAAAAAGTCTTCATCATCAGAAAGCAAGCCAGGGCCAGGCCTTGTATCAATAGTCTGGAAGACAGACAGCAGATCATGCTGCTGGCTTACGGTTCGCAGGGCCAGACTCACCGTGACGGGCTTGGTCTTCTCCCAGTCAGTCAGCAGGTCGGTGGTGCGGCTCTCCACGGCCCGGTCCTCCTGGACGATCTTCATCTGCAGGTTGGCCACCTGCTGCTGAATGGCAGAGTCCTTCCGCCGCATGATGTCATTGAAGGCGCCCCACTCGCCCTCAATGTTGTCAATATAAAGCCAGGAGGGCGGGAACTGGAACCTCTGCTTCTCCAGCAAGCGCTGACCATTGCGGTAGAGCTTTGAGAGGTAAGAAGTTATAAATTGAATTTTACCTTCCATAACAATAATAGAAACTACTGTCAGGGTCTATGGCAGAGAAGTCACGGTGGCAACAAAATATAAAACGTCGATACGTTTGCCCTTCTCTAGAAGCCTCCCGCCCCGAGTGTGCGGTCACCTGGGTGCTGTGACCAGAGGCAGTGTCTGAGATCCTCCCGGGCAGTCCGCTACGTACCTCGCTACACCCCGAAGGCCCTGGAGGGGCCCTCTGCATGCTGCTTCACCCCACCCTCCCAAGTTATAAAAGGAAATCAAGTTTGATGACTTGAAGATCAACAACTAAAATAACGGATCTTTTAAGTCAACAGCCAGTGGTTCTCAGACCTCGGTATGCAGAGGAACCACCTGCAGAGCCAAAATGCAGATGCCCGGATGCTATATGTGCACATTAACAAGCACAGCAGGTGTGACAACACAGGTGACCAGTGGCCGCGCCTAAAGGCTGGTGGGGAGTCAGAGCCCTCGGTGAGAATTACTCCTAGGACTCACCTCAACTTGCTTCTCAAACTGCTTGATCTTCCGTTTCAAAGACTGCACGTAGGTGATGAAGGTGACGGCGTCCGAGGTGCTGGCGGTGTCCACCGAGTGCTGCTCCAGCTCTTGGCGAGACTGCGGGAGAACACAGCGCTTAGCTGGAGCCGAGGTCAACCCGCAGACCCCCCGCGCCGACAGGTCCTGTCCCCTCACCTTGGAGATCTGCGTGTGGAATTCTGTCATGTTGGATCCAAGCATCTGCCCAAATTTGCTGAGAACCTCCTTATGCCAGGAGTCGTACTTCAAGTTCACCTTGGACTGCACCTGCAGTGAGCGAGCAAAGACAGGGCGTCGCCTCAGGGCATGCTCACTCCCACTTCATTCCCGCCAGACCCAGATGCCGCCTCAGAGCGACCGGCACCTTCAACAAGCCACCTTCAACAAGCCAGCAGGGCTCACCTTGCCGTAATCTATAACCACGGGCCCAAACTCTTTCTTGGTTTCCGCGTTGTCAAAGGTCCCTCTGGCCTTCCTTATCTGAACCAAGAGAGCTTGCCACTTGTTGAGGTCTTCCCCGAGTCTGTTATAGATGTTTTCGGCCTGCATGTCCCACAAGCACTGGTACTGAAGCCAAACCTGCAGACAAGAACACAGTCAGACTACAGTTTGGCCTTCCATTCTGTAGCATGTTGACATATATCTTCATGTTCTGTTAAAAAGGTTCACATTCATTCATTACCATTTAAAAAATTCCCACTTCAAATTCTCACATCAAAAATAAATAAAATCTGCCCAGCCAGCTTTGCTCAGTGGTTGAGCGTTGACCTATGAACCAGGAAGTCACAGTTAGATTCCTGGTCAGGGCACATGCCCAGTGTGGGCAGCCAATCAATAATTCTCTCTCATAATTGATGTTCCTGTCTCTCCCTCTCTCAAATCAATAAAAACATATTTTCACAAAACTAATAAGATTTACAGTACTCCAAAATGATAATACCTCATAAGATTTGTCCAATATTTTTCTTTGCATTAAAATAGCAAATAGCTACTGAATCATATTACATTTAGACAAGACCTTCTAGCTTCATATTCTTCTATCTCTTGCTCCTGAGTGTCTAAGATGGAAACCAGGAGCTTCTTACCTTGACGTACTGCTCGACTTCAGTCACGATGCCCATGACGGCAGAGTAGGACTCTTCCAGGGCCATGGGGCCATCCGGCATCCGTGTCAAAGCATTCCGATAGAACTTCTCCTCTTCCGTCAGCTCGTAATGCACGCCCACCTAACCAAGCAAAGCCGGAGGTGAGTGCAGCGTGTGCAACACTGTTCATCCTAGGGGCACCTCTCAGCAAAAACGAACGGGAAGTCCAGCCCACGATGAAAATGGCACTTCAGGGACAATGTCCACTTACCAGTCACAAGTGAGCAAAACCCTACTTATGTTTAATTCGTCAAGCCAATCAAAGGAAGAGATCAATCACTCCCAAGGGGCAGGGGGCCAGGAGCAGCCACGTAGGCAGCTCTTCCATGTTTGCTAAGAGGAGCAGGGAAATTAGGTGGCTGGAAGCAGCCGAGGTCAAGTTTATTCACTGACAGGAAGACTGAGAAGAGAGGGAGGATCTGCTGGGCCACAAGGTGCGGGGATCAGTGCTCAAGAGGGGCTGGCTTTAGTTCGTTCCAGGGGAGACGAGCAGGAGAACTGCAAACACAAGTGTGCTGGAAGATGGCACAGACCCGAGGGGCAGGCACCACCCACAGCTGCACGTCGCCACGTCTGTGCTCACACTGCCACAACTGTGAGCCCATGCAGAAAATCTCTCAAGAACTGAGTCTGTGTTCAAAGTTAAGGAAAGAGATACATGCCCAAGAGGACCACTGCGCTCTCGACAAGCCTGTCAAAGCAGAGGCTGTGGGAGCTGCTCATCTGACAGGAGCAGGCCTAGAGCCCAGACAGGAGCAAGTGGCCTGTCGAGTTTGTATTATACCTGGGAGTTGTCTTAAAATAACCGGTGGGCTGTGTGCAGGGGAATGCACATGAAACAAAATTGGCCACATGTTGACAAAACAAGGTGATGTAAATTCTCTCTACCTTTGTGGATGTTTGCAAACTTCCATAATAAAGAGCGGGTGGAGGAAAGAAGCAGGAAGTAAAATTCCCCAAGGTCATGGAGGGACTTTCTAAGAGCCACTGAGACCTGAGCTGCAAACAAACAGCTCCTGGGAAAAGTAGCTACTGCGAGAAGAGTCAGGCACACAAGCTTCTCCCCTTGGAGAGCTGGGCCTCAAGTTGGGAGCTGAAAAGACGCCAAGAGCCGTATTTAAGGAGACCGGGGCGAGATGGTTGCAGAGCCTCGGTGGCCTGGCCAGGAGGCTCACCTGGTACCTCTGACTCTGGATCCTGGGGAGAGACAGCACGATCATCTTCCAGGCAAACATTTCCTGATACAGCTTGTACCTGCACTCTTCGATGGGCGGGTTCAAGTAGATGACCTGATTGGTTATTCTGAGCTCGTGAACGACATTCTGAAAAGGAAAGATTTCACATCTTACTCCACGATCTGCTTCAACACAATGGTTGGGATGTACCACCCTTTCTCCAAGTTACTGAACTGCTGCTGTCTGAACCACGGCCTTCTGCAGTGCAATGCTTGCGGTCTGGGCCCTCCCCAGGGATGCAAGTGGGAGGGCAGGCTGAGGCCCCCGTAGGTGCCTCATGCCTGGGTGCCCAGTGAGGCACCACCCGCTGGGCCGTGCACCTGAGACCAGCGCGGCTGCAGCAGGGCCATGAGCTGGCATTCACAGTTGGGCTCCGCTCACTGGTACAAGTCTGCCTGTGCCACCTGGTTGTGTTGGGAGCTGGCCAGGAACTCCCAGCCCATCGCCAACTGACTCTATCACTTGGACACACTTATTTGCTTTCCTGAATCTCAGTATTTAAAAAATATGCTCTGGGGATACATACCCGTAATATTCAAAAGTGAAAACATTTTTCAAGCATTGAGAGAAAAAAATACCTGAGGTCAAGTCTGGGAAGGGAAAAAAAAGCCAAATGTTTCTCCCAGATCAGTTTTACTTGCAGTTCTTTTAGGTTTCTGATTCGTGATACCTTTCTTACTGCTAATTACACAAACTACATAAAACAACACGGCACTTAGGAAATTCCTGTGAGGTTCGCGTCTCTCTGACCACTTCCCACATCAGGAGACAGGACCTATTTGCAGTGTGAATGAACAGAATTTTCCAGGAAGCTTGCTAGGATCCTCTGACCACATCGTCAGAGGAATGTGAACAGGCGCTTGTGGCCAAAGTGTGACCACTGAGTTATGGGATGGGTCAGTGTCATAGGCTGGAGATTGCTTTCAGTCCCTGAAATGATTTCTTGCATGTGTGCTTGGAAAGCAGAGGGTTATATTTTTCTGCGTAAGATTATTTTTCATTTGTTAAGAACTTGTTTATGAACTAAGTTTAGACTTTCAGGAGAGTCACCAAGAAAGCAGGAGGCTCTCAAGCACCCTTCACCAGCCTTCTCTGCTGAGACGCCGGCCGTGGCACGATGACCACAGCAGACGTTAACGCTGACCCAGCACCACGACCTGGAACACAGGCTGTCACACGTGCGGGCTCTCGTCCAGAGCCCATCACACACTTCCCCCAGTCGCCCCTTTCTCCCTCTCCTGACCTTGGCTCTTGGAGAGTGCTGGTCAGGTGTTGTGCAAAAGACCCCCAATGCCGCGGAGGGATTTGGGAGAGACCCTGGGGGCCAGCACCCTCTGATCACACCGCACATGGTCCCACACGGGGGATGCTGACCGGGGTCACCGGGTGAGGTGATGTCTGTCAGGTTTCTCCAAGGTGAAGGTTTTCCCATTGGCACGTTTGAGGGAAGAGTTTATTTACGTGCATGGGATGCTCTGGGAAATACTCACCTTGATCTTTGGCTCTCCACCAGGTTTGTGACTAACTTGTGGAGCGTCTGTGTCCATGTCGACTTCAGACTTATCTTCAGCTTGTCCAAGAAGCACCTGGGTCCAAGCCCTGAGGCCAGCTTGCAGGCGGACACCCAGTATTCTTTCAATCTACAGAGAAAGCAGTGTTGCAGAACTGTGAGTCTTCCTAACTGGAGCTGACCGAGCACATTAAATAGAAAGCAGAGGCGCCTTCTTGATCAATAAATCTTTCCTTACTCAAAACAAAAACAAAAACAAAACCCAAAAAACAGAGGCTTTAGGTCAAAGACAAAGAGTTAATTACAACCCTCCTCTCTCTATTCTGAGTCTCACTTCCAGTGCTTTCTCCAGCCTCAGGTAACTGCCTCTGTTTGGTTCACTGTGCTGTCGCCAATACATGTGGTAAGGAGACTAACACAAACTCTAGACATGCAATTAAGGTCTTGATACTGTTTAATATAATAGAAAACTCACAAAAGTGTTTTCCTGGTCACCTCAGAGATAAAACTAGAAAACTATAGTTTGAAAATTAAACCATTTTTTTTCTTGTTGTTGAGGTAGTATCATATATGTTACATTAGTTTTAGACACGGCATAATCTATATATAAAAAAGGCTAAGCGACAATCCAACCGCCAGACAGGTAGCTATGACACACAATGTCCACCAGAGGACAGATGCTCAATGCTGAGCTGCTGAGCTGTGGTGACTTGGCAGCAATGGTTCTCAGTGAGAACCCAAGAACTGCCCTCTCGCAATGCGGGATCCCTTGGGGGATGTCAGAGAGCTGGTTTCAGCTTGAACGGCCTCTGACAGGCTGAGGGACCCCATCTGCTGGAGGGACCCTGCTCACTCCAAAGATGCCCTTTGAGGCACAGCACTGCCCCAGGTGCGGCTGGCCAGATAGGGACCCAGGGAGGTTGGCTCCAGGGCGTGTCCAGCCCATCTTGCCCAGTCCTGACCCACCTGCCACCTTCTAATGAATTTCGTTTAAATGTGCACGAATCCATGCACCGGGCCACTAGTGATTAGATATTTATATAAGTTGCAAAATGATCACAATAGTCCAGTCAACATCTCCATGATGACCACTTTCTGTTACAAGTAAAGAACAAAATCTTCTCTCTGACCTAGAATGAGACAAGTAAGTTTCTGCGAACAGGAAGCCTGTGTGTCTTTGTGAAAAGGTGGTGTTGGCCATGGGACCACCTGGGATGCCGTGAGGGCGGCCGTGAGGAAGGCTGGGACTTTCAGTGGATTCAGTAGAGCGGGCTTTGTCAGCTTTCCCTCTGTTGGTCTCCGTTTGTGTGAATACACCACCACTGATTTACCCTTTTTAAAAGGGAAGGAAAGCATGCCCAGCCTGCATGGCTCAGTGGTTGAATATTTACCTATGAACCAGGTCACAATGTGGGGTGTGCAGGTGGTAGCTGATGAATGATTATCTTTCATCATTGATGTTTCAATCTCCTCCCTTCCTCTCAGAGATAAATAGAAATATGTTTGAAAATAAAATAGTAAAATAATAAAAATAAGGGAAGGAAAGCCCTAGCCGGTTTGGCACAGCGAATAGAGCGATTGCCCATGGACTGAAGGGTCCCAGGTTACATGTCCATCAAAGGGCATGTATCTCAGTTGCAGGCTCGATCTTGTGTGTGGAAGGCAACCAATCAATGTGTCTTTCTTGCTTTGTTTCTTCGCCTCACCTCCATGTCAGTAAGTGAGGACCCATTCAGCGCCCAGCCTCACCTCCATGTCCAGCTTGTTGACCCAGATGGGCAGGTTGGAGTATGAGTGCAGGTTCAGGTCGTCCACAGCTTTCTGGACCCTGTTCAGGATCTCGGAGAAAGTCTTGTGATCGTACATACAGGTTTCCAGGGAACGCACTTCCAGGTCTATTTTTTCTTCAATAATCAGCAGATCATCCACCTAAAGGGAAGTATATTTAATATTTAAAACATCTACTCACTCTACTCACTCCGTCCTTTAATTCTTATGTACATTCTTCTCAATTAACAAATGCTCAAGGCAGAGAAGTTTTTCCATGAACAGCTAATCCTACTGGGTGAGAGGGAAGGGAAATGTATGGAGACTGTCAGCCTGCCCCTCCTCCCTCCTGCTCACGGGAGAAATGGCCTCTGCTTAATAAGCCTGGGAGCAGAAGTAAGATGGGCCCCGTTCTGGCTTCCATCCTCTCCTCAGGAACCGATGTGCACCAGACGCACGCACTCTGGCCTGCTTGCAGCGGCAGGCACAGGACCAGCAGGCCTACACTGGCCAGATGTGCGGAGCCTGGGCGGAAGTCTAGGTCAGGGTGGAGCGACAGCAAGCATCCTGGCTGCAGATGGAGACCCACGCTCTCCAGGCAGCTTTATAAGGAAGAAAGCTCTCGTTTCGCTGTTCGACTCCTGTACCTGTCTTCTCTCCACTGAATTCAGGTGTTGGTTATTCAAAGGCCTCCCTAAAGCCCTGATCCCGTCAAACAGCCCAGTGGTCCTTCTCTCCCTTTTAGCTCCCATGTCTCCTGCGTATCAATCCCGCATGCCGTGGGAGACCAACATGGTGAGCCAGTTGGTACTGGGCCCCGGGAGGACTGGCTCGGAACACACCTTTTCCTGGAAGTTGAAGACAGTCTCTGCTAGCCGCTGCACGTATGGGTCGAGTTTGTAGGATTCCCACACCAAGGCGATGCCCTCAGCGATCAGGGCCTGCACCTCCTTCTTCAGGCCGGCCACCAGCAGAGAGATGGTGTTCCGTTCCTCCACCTTCTCACAGGTGCGCTCGTAGGTGCGCACGCTTTCAATCAGGGAGATGGCAAACGGGTAGAGCTGGTTGGCTTGATGAGCCTTGTTCACAATCGCCAGAGGGACTCGAAAACCAAGCCACTTGAGGTTTCGAACTTCTTTTGAAAGTGTGATAATCTCGGGCAGGAAGTTGACCTTAAGCTTGAGGACGTTCCCAGATCGGCCACGAACCCGGGTACTTTCGATGGTGAAGATGCGCCCCGAGACGCCCAGGTTCCGCTGCTGCACCTTCCGGGCCCAGTCGTCAAATATTTCCTGGGTGTTGAGCTTCATGCGGAAACTGTCACCGTCCTGCTTCAGCTTCTGCCCCTCCACGTGGTTCTCCCAGCCCTTACCCAGGACGTCCTCCACACGCTTCATGTAGGCGGTCAGCTGCCTGTCAATCTGCTTCGCCCAGATGATGGACCCGGACACAGGCGGCAGGTCGCGCACGTGGCTCATCTTGCAGGACTGACTCTGTGGGTACTGCACTTTGAACTTGTCGTGAAGAGACTCGATGTCGTCTTTCACGCGCTGGATTAGCTGGGTCTGGTATTCACGGATGGCGCCCCGGATGTGAGGCCTGACAAACAGTGCATTGAACCTGGAGAAAATCCTAAACATCTCGTTAGCATTCTTGGCTGTGCCGAGCTGATCCCGAAGGCGAGCAGTGATCCGGGTCTCCACCCTGTCAATCCTCTCGTCGTATCTCTTCATCGCGGCCTCCCACGCCTCTGTGCCTTCTTTGGAAACATCCAGTCCGTCCACTTCCTTGACATTCTCGTAGGCGAGGTTTACCTCCTCAATAGCATTCGCATCGGCGGCATCGAAGAGAACCTCAGCTACTTTCATATCCTGGGGTTCAGGGACCTCCCCTTGATTCTGCTGTGCAACCGCTGTGACCTAGAAGGGAAGGATCGTGACAAAGTTAGCAATGAAGGCTGTATTCTGTTGTACACCAGCAGAGCACACACACAAATTACCAGTCAGCCTCGGTAACGCTTGCTTGACTCTAGTCAAACACTTAAAAGACATTTTTAAGAGAATGGAAGGGAGTGGGAGAGATACATTGATGACAGAGAAACACCATCCATTGGCTGCCTCCTGCATGCTCCTTACTGGGGATGAAGCCTGCAAACTGGGCAAGTGCCCTGATCAGGAATAAAAAAACTGAGCTTCCCCAGCAAAACCAGTGAAACATTTCATAGCCCTGACTCAGCAAAGCCAAGTAAAACACGACACAGCACATCTTAACTCTGCGCTGCACAGACCTTCTGACAATGTACTCCCTCTGCTTAAGACGAAATTAACGTGTTAGACCTGGATTTGGGGCACTTGCCTTTTCAATGTTTAATCAGCAGTTAGAGCTGTGAATGAGTGTAGTAATTCACAGGAGTGTGACATACAAACTCAGTGTCCAACACCGTTTTCCTTTCTTAGTCTTAAACTCTAGGTTACAGCCCACAGGAAGCACACAGCAGAGGGACGAATAAAGTGAGAGTAACATCAGAACCTCCATTCAGTTCTCTCCCCATGTGCTGCTGGAAGTCAGTGTTGAGTATGTCACAATACATTAAAGATGAACATTGTAAGCCGAAGAGTAGTCTCTAAGAAAAAAGAAGTCAAAGAACTACAGCTCCAAGTCTATAGAGGAATTAAAGTGATAAAAACAGCACAAGGAGGGCTGCCAGAAAGGGAGGAATAAGAATGAGACAAGTGGACAAGAGCAAACAGCAGGTGTGAGTCTAACCACATCGATAACTGCACTCAGTGAACAGACTACACATAGTGATGAAACATGCTAAGAATGCATCACACACCCAAACCATTATGTTCAATTAATATTTGACAAAGGAGGCATGAACATACATGAGTCAAGACAGACTCTTCAATAAATAGTGTTGGGAAAATTGGACAGATACATGCAAAAAAACAAACTAGACCACCAACACAAAAATAAACTCAAATGGATACAGACTTAAACATAAGATGGGAAACCATAAAAACACTAGAGGACTCCACAAGCAGCAAAATCTCAGACATATGCCGAAGCAATTTCTTCACCAATACCACTCCTAGGGCATTGGAAGCTAAAGAGAAAATAAACAAATGGACTACATCAAAATAAAAAGCTTTTTCACAGCAAAAGAAACCATCAACAAAACAACAAGAAAGCCCACTGTATGGGAGAACATATTTGCAAATGTTGTCACTGATAAAGGTTTAATCTCCATCTACAAGCAACTTACACAACTTAATAAAAAGAAGATAATGATCCAATTAAAAAATGGGCAATGAACCTAAATAGAATCTTCTCAAAAGAAGTCAGAAGGCCAAGAGGCACATGAAAACATGCTCAAAATCACTAATTATCCGAGAGATGCAAATCAAAACTACAATGCGGTACCAACTCACACCTATCAGAATGGCTATCATCAAATCAACAAACGACAAGTGTTGGCGAGGATGCGGAGAAAAAGGAACCCTGGTGCACTGCTCGTGGGAATGCAGACTGGTGCAACCACTGTGGAGAACAGTGTGGAGCTTCCTCAAAAAACTGAAAATGAAACTCCCATTTGACCCAGTAATCCCACTCCTAGGAATATATCCTAAGAAACTAGAAACACCAATCAGAAAGGATATATGCACCCTTATGTCCATAACAGCACAATTTACAATAGGTAAGATTTGGAAACAGCCTAAGTGCCCATCAGCAGATGACTGGATTAGGAAACTATGGTACATCTACACAATGGAATACTATGCTGCCATAAAAAAGAAGGAATTCTTATCATTTGTAGCAACCTGGATGGAACTGGAGAGCATCATGCTAAGTGAAATAAGCCAGTCAATGAAAGAAAAATATATGATCTCACTCGTTTGTGGATAATAAAGAACATTATAAACTGATGAACAAAAAGATAAAAACAGAGGCAGTAAAGCATCAAACATACAGTCAAATTACAGCGGCAACGTTAGCGAGAGGTGGGGGAGATAAGTGATCAACAGGAGGACCTGTACGCATGCATATAAGCATAACCAATGGACACAAGACACTGGTGGGTGAGGGCATAGATGGGAGTGAGGAGGACAATGGGAAGATATGTACACATGTAATATCTTTATAAAAAAAAAAGATTTGGTCAACCAAAAAAACAAAAAGCTGCAGAGGACTCACTATTAACAAGTACTCAACCCCGAACAGCAGGTACCTCAATCAGTGGTGAAGCCTCTTGGACTGAACAATTTCCAGGCTGGAGCCCCGTAACTTTTTTTTTTTTTTTTTTTACAAGATTTTCAAGCTACAGGAGGGTTGAAAAGATTTATCTATACACCCATCTAGCATTAATTAATATTTAGCCAATTAACATTTGCTATATATTGGCTTTATCATATATTGATCCATTTACCAATATATATATATATATATATAAATAAATCTTAGGCATATGCAATTGTTATTCACATTTTGCAGACGAGGAATCTGGAGAAAAGGGTAAATAATGTGTCCAAGTCACACAGCTAGTTCAGCAGTGGGCTGCAGGTTCTGGCTCTAGGGTCCATGCATTTTGAGGGTAGGAATGAATGGGTGGACAACGTTAAAGATTTGGACTAAAACAATATAATACAGAATCACTAGATCTTAAAGACAACAGCCACAAGACAGAGCGACAGAGCTAAAGAAGTAATAACACACACACACACACACACACACACACACACACGAAGTATAACACTGCAAAACAGAAACAGGTAGCTCATTCTCAAACAGTCACGCGTGAACTTCTGGGGTGGGAATCACCTGTGGCCTCAGGACCCGGACGATGACTGCCCTCAGCTGCTCGTGCTGCCGTCGGAACTTCCTCATCTGGTCCAGGCGAGCCTGCAGCTTCCTGTGGGCAGGGTTGATTCGCCACACCATCTTCAGATTTTCTTCCCTTTTCCGTTTGACAATGTCTCTCAGCAACACCTGAAGTTTCTCGTATTCATCATCCCAAGTCTGAAACACTTCGAAGCACGCCACCATGACCTAGGGTGTAATTTAAGAACGGAAGCTTGTTATTACAGCGCAGTTTGGCCTCAATGCCCCGAGGCTGGTCTCTGATAGAGTAAAACGTACCTTTTCGAATTCTTCATAAGCAACGTGCATTAGTTTTCTAGTGCCCAACACTTTGAGTAGCTGGGAGCTCAAGTCTCTTGAAATGGCCTCCACCAAGCGCAGGGCCCTCTGGATGGGATACTTCGTGTTTCGGATCTTCCTCAAATGGGTGAAAATCGCCACCAGAGCCTGCCTGATCTTGTCCAGCTCAGTGGCAGACAGCAAATCGTTCAGAGGGAAATCTTTCATCAGAGGGTTGTAGTCATTCACTGTTTCCAAAGCCTGTTTTAGACCTAGGTTAAGAGAGACAGTTAATGGTTTTTATATACAGTAAAACAACTCTAACACAGTGGCAGATGTCAATCTTACCTCTACTGAAAAGTAATGCAACCACAGGACATTCCGTACAGCCTACTACTGGGAAAGTAAACTGAAATGTCCCTCATGATGGCACAGTTTGATGTTGCAAAAGATTTACTGACAAAGAAACTGTTTATTATTTGGGGGAAAAACTGTCATTAACAGGATGATCCTAGCATAGCCTCATTTCCACCTGTTAAAGCATATCAGGGATACACCATAGTTCATTTTCTTTTGCTTTCTAGATTATCTAAATGTTCTACTAAAAACAAGTTTAAGAAACTAGAATTTTATCATATTTAAAAACACTAGAATTTAAATCTTATGCCCATAACAGAGGTTAGGTGAGTATGTTATTGACACAATCACAGAAACTCCTGGGTCCATTCTAGTTTTCTACTTCCTCTGGCACAAGATATTTAAAAACATGATAGAAAGACAAAGGTTTCGGAGGCATTATAGAAAATTCAATTATATATCAAGTATACTTTTCCACATTAGTAAATGCCCAGGTAACATGTACAGCGTGATCAATGTAATGGGACAATTTCCACCCGAAATCTCCTTTAACATTTGCCACGACTGCGATCTGGCTGGTGGCCCTAACGGGCCTCGTGGGCATGGAGTGGTACACACATGCCTGAGCGCTCCAACGTCCGTGTGCCCACTGGGTGCTAACGAAACACCACTCACGGCGGCCCAGGCAGAAAACTAAAGGCTCCTGCCCCCTTCCAAAACAGGAGGGGAGCGAGAACAGGACGGAGCAGGTGAGGGAGGAAGAGGAAGCACTGAGCAGCTCCCTGTCCGCAGCTCCCTGTGGGCAAGTACCCGCTGCGTCTGCGAACCGTCTTCCTGCCCGTCGGGGCACTGACTTCACTCTGCCAGCACAGCTTGCTCAGGGGGCTGAGCAACCGGGACAGGATGCAACTCCCACGGCTCTCGATACCCAGGCCTAAAACTGGCCGTGACCTCAAAACCCGGGGAGGAAACGGGAGGTATGTGGGAAAGTCATTTCCATTACCTCGAACTGGGGGAAATGAGATAAGTTGCAAGGAGAAAAGGAAAGGCAGTGCATATACTAACGTTCATCTCAATCACCAGCAGGTCTCACAAAAGGCAGATTAACCACTTGATGGGCGCTCAGGCCTGGTTTTACCTGTGTCTGTGTCGAAGCTGACGGTGGCGTGGAAGCGCTTGCCGTGCTTCAGGATATCCAGCGTGAGCAGAACCTCCGGGCTCTCGCGCTTCTCCTGTATGCGGTACAACGCACGCTCCAAGTTCAGCCAGAAACTGATTTCTTGTAAGGCCGTTCCTGAGGCAGGGTCTCGGTCAAGTTTGGTCACCTTTAAACATAAAATAACACTGAAGGGTATTCCCATGGAAACAAAGGTGGAGAAAGGATCATTAAGTGAACACATGCATTACAATTTCCATAGTTCAAGCGCATTTCCTGCCTGTAAACCACAAGTAGGTGAACTGAAGATCACAGGTAGGAAAGAGGTCAGACGAAGGCTCAGGGTGTTGGTGAGGGTCTCCCACTTCCCCGGTCTGGCAGGCCTGCTGAGCAGTCCCAGTACCAGGGCAGGTATGGCGAACAGTCACCCATGAATTTACCTCACAGATAACAAGAGCATGAAACCTTTATAGCTACTTTCAGCCTGTGCTCTTACTTTCTGAATTTCTCGGATCCAGCGGTTAACTCCGGACTGTAGCTGATTAAGAAAAGTTGGGTCTTCAACCTTATCTCCAAAGTCTGTAACTTTTGGCTTTTCTCCACGCTCATAGCACTGCTTGGCGACATTTGTAATAATTGGGTGAATTGGCAGGCTGATCTCTGGAATTTCAATGTTTTGCTGCAGGTGAAGGAGTCCCATTTCAAGTTCCGCAATCTTTTTTTCAACGGAAGGCGCCATTTTATCACCATCCCTAAAAAGGTAGAAAACACCTCAAAACAGTGCACTATTGGTCTCCAAAGACATGCTCTCATTTCAGGTCTGTCAAATAATAATCTACATTTTATTAACGCAACAGATTTACATCCTCTTGGTTGTTAGCTCTACCTCCTGATTCTGAATTTTATATCATTTTCCAATATCTTGTGAGGACGTAGTGAAACATGATTCAAACCAACAAAGGGAAAATGGTTTTTACCTGTCTGCCTTGCCAGACTCTCTGATGTAGGACTTAAAGAAAGGAGCCACAGCATTGCTAATGAAAGAATGCAAGGTTTCATATGGGGAGTCCTCGCTGAGCGTGAGAACGCGGAGCTGGGAAGACACTGGTTTGTCTGCATCAATGACTGGAGTGCGTTTAATGAACGCCAAGCTACAAGAAAGCAAAGAAGAAATTAGAACACAAAGTCTCGTTCCTAATTAGTCTGGACTCCCGTGGCCTTCTTTTGTTTCGTACAAATTAAAAACTCATTTGGCCCTGGCCAGTATTGCTCTGTGGTTAGAGCATCAACTGCGCCCCAAAAGGTCTCTGGTTTGATTCCCATTCAAGGGCACATACCTGGTTAGGGTTTGCTCCCCACTCCCCGGTGTGGGAGGCAACCAATTGATGTGAGATCTCACATCGATATTTCCCTCTCTCTGCCCTCCCTCCCCTCCACTCTCTGAAAAGCAATAGAAAAAAATATATGGTGAGGATTAACAAAACAAAAAAGAAATTCATTTGAATGTTTCAATTTAAAAATCCTATTAAGAATAGACTAAATAGTTGCTTTTCTAATATTGAAACAGTGCTTATTTTTACTCACTCACATGAGAACTAATCAAATCAAGGTTATGGTTATAGCAAGGGACCGTGAAATCAAGCAAAATTAATTTGTCTTATAAATGGGTTACATTTGTAACCTTAGCCTCATTAACTCTAACCTTCCTAGCAACTGCAGGTTACAAGCCATAATGCACTTAAATCTGATCTTAAATCCCATAACAACTCGAATAAACAAAGTCACTCCCAGGTTCAAGTGAAAGTGGGCATTCCAGCCGAGACCGGTTTGGCTCAGTGGATAGAGTGTCGGCCTGCGGACTGAGGGGTCCTGGGTTCCGTTCCTGTCATGGGAATGTGAGTTGGTTGCGGGCACATCCCCGGTGGGAGTGTTCAGGGGGCAGCTGGTCGATGTTTCTCTCTCATCGATGTTTTTAGCTCTCTATCCCTCTCCCTTCCTCTCTGTAAAAAATCAATAAAATATATTAAAAAAGAAAGAAAGAAACAAACAAAGAAAGAAGAAAGAAAGAAAGAAAGAAAGAAAGAAAGAAAGAAAGAAAGAAAGAAAGAAAGAAGTGGGCATTCCAGGCCCCACTACTCTCCCAGTTCCATACCTGCTGTGCACCCTTTCCCTTCCCTGCCTGCCTCGGATCACTGCTTAATAGATGCTCCTTTCTCCAAACGTGTCATGTGCTTTTGTGCCTTTCCTTAAGAAATCGATATTCAGCTCCTGAAATTCCAAGCAACCCTGAAGACCCGCTTCCTGCGGTGCTTCTTCCAGAGGGCCTTCCCTAGAAAGAAGCAACCGCGCCCTCGTCCCTGTTTCATGGCAGCTCGCACCGCTGAGAGGGCAGGTGTGGAGCTGGCTGTGAATTCACCTCCTTCCTCCCAAAGACCACAGGCTTCTTTGAACAGGACTCAGGTTTATGGTTTACATACCCACTGCATATCTTAGGTATAGCAGGAGCTCAAAGGTGGCTGGATTAATTCTTTTTTTTTTAAATATTTTTTATTGATTTTTCACAGAGAGGAAGAGAGAGGGATAGAGAGTTAGAAACATCGATGAGAGAGAATCATCGATCAGCTGCCTCTTGCACACCCCCCACTGGGGATGTGCCCGCCACCAAGGTACATGCCCTTGCCCGGAATCGACCCCGGGACCTTTCAGTCCGCAGGCTGACGCTCTATCCACTGAGCCAAACCGGTCCCGGCAAGGATTAATTCTTTAAGAAAATGAATATTTGAATTTTCCTGTTCCCAATAGTTAATATTCTAAAACACCAATGAGGTTTCCTGATGTGACACCATGAGAAGAACAAAGCTGCTACAAAATTCCTGCCAACAATGTACAACCTGGATCCGACCATGGACAACACAGACAAACCCAACTGAGGGATGTGCCTTAGACCACCCTCTGTCCTTTCGAGGTCAACATCATGAAAGACACAAAGGACCAACACAGACAGACACAGGACTGAATTCTGGGTCCCGGGAGAACTGCTGAGAGGAGTATGACCAACACAAAACACTGGATCTGAAGGGCAGGATTGTTCCAATGTTGCATTTCCTGAAGCTGGTCACTGTGCTGAGGCTAAGGATGGGGATGTCCCTGTCCTTAGGAAATACTCTTAAGAATTTAGGGAAAAGAGGCAGGTTGTCTATAACCAACTCGGAAGTGGTTCAGGGAAAAAATGAGAATACAAATGTGCTAAATGTTAACAGCTGATACCTGGGAGTTCTATATACTTACTAGTCACAAAATGCCTGTAAGCTTGAAATTATTCAAAATAAGTTTTAAAAGCCAACACAATCTATTTTAACATCTGTACATTTAAATATGTATAAGATTACTTGAGTATAAACTGGCACAACATTTCTGGAAGATGGAAAATCTGGTAACAGGCAAATGTAGATGCACCACATCTGAACCTGTGATGCTGCTTTTAGAGATTTGTCCTACAAAGACTCAGACCTGTACCTAACAGTGTTTACCAGTTATCTATATATATAAAAGCTTAAGTGACCAAACAACCGTTTGCTATAACATGCACTGACCACCAGGGGGCAGATGCTCAATGCAGGAGCTGTACCCTGGTGGTCAGTGGGCTCCTACAGCAGGGGTGCCGGTAGATCAGCTAGCTGACGCGCACCCAGCCTGGGCTCAGGCTCCTCCCTGGACACCTGCCACTTCATACATCCTCCCACGGGGGATGGCAGATTACCAATTTTACCTGATTCCGGCTTGGCCTACGGGGACTGGGTCGAAGCCAGCAGTTTAACATTCCCCTAAGAGTCCCAGATTGCAAGAGGGCACAGGCCAGGCTGAGGGACCTCACCAGTGCACAAATCTATGCACTGAGTCTCTAATTTATAATAATGATGCTTCAGATACAAACTGAGGGCATTATTAGATATGTTGCAATGAGTGCCATGACATGGAGATTAAAGTAAAAATATTTTAGAATTTATCTTAATTTGGAAATCCTCTTAACTTATCAAAAGTAAGATACTGAAATTATAGAGTAGAAATCCTTTGAGTGTTTTCTTAATGTCTTTGTCTGAGTCAGTTAAGACTGACATTTAATTCTCTCCTCAAGCTCAGAACCCAAGATTATGATTATCGTAACACTACTCACCTGTTGGACTTGACTCCATAATGAATGTCTATGTTGATATTATAGGAAATGAATTCTTTTTCTTCTTCTCCTTCATCACCAACATCCTCTACAAATTATAATAAACATCGTATCACATTCTTGTCAACATTTCCAATTTTGAGTCAGCTCTCCTTATTTCCCTTTCCTACCTGTTTTTTTCTGACTCCTGCCCAGGGCCCTCCTTTGCTGCCTCATCCTGGGCAAAGGGGGGAGGGGGACCTCTCTGAGTCTCTGCTCTGTGCCTGGGCTCCCGGACACATTCAGGAGCTGTTGCTGGGCAGGGCTGGAGGGCAGGTGTGCTGTGCTAGGGGAGCTGGTGCCTTACAGCCCCTTCTCCAGGCCCCACTCATTCCCACACCTTGGCTCCCTACACAGAAGTTACCTCCTCTTCCCTTCCCCCCTGCCCCTACTCTACCCCCCACCCCCATTCTGCTCAGTGGCTAACTTGGCATTTACTATGTGACAGGCATTTACTAGGCACTTAGGTACATCATGTCTTTAACCCTCACTACAACCTATGGGGACTGGCATGACTATCACCATCCGTTTTCCAGGTGAGGAATGTAAGCAAATTGTCCTCAGCCCGGGGCTGGAAAGGGACAGCCTAAGAAGTCAGAAGCCGGAGATTCTAAACCCAGTGTCCTCATCAGTACACAGGCTGCCCCTCCCTCATCAGGGCAAACTGCTGTCCAGCATCAGCCCAGGTCCCTGAGAGGTGTTCCCCCGCCTTCCCCTCTGCTCCTGGAGCACTTCTCATGGCCTGCTGGGGATCGACTTAGGGATGCACCCCCCTCCACCCTCCACCCCCCACCCCCCACGGTGGGCTCTTGATGCCCAGTGGCCCTTAGAAAAGCTGACGGGATTTAATAGTAAGATAGCTCAATATACATTTTGAGACTATTTCTAAATAGCTAAAAATCAAAACAGAAAAATAAAAAATGTGTAAGAATGGAAACAACGCAAACCTGTAGGTGTAGCACTAACCCACCAGAGGCCTGGTGGGTGATCAGTTACATGGAAACGTGTGCTACAGAAATCACTCTCCCAGGGTTAATTTAACATTATACATAGGAAATCATTACCCCAAGATTAATTTAACACGGTCCGCCCTCCCTTCCACCTCCGTGGTGTAAAGCAAAGGATCTTGGGAAGGCCATTTCTCCTCCTCTGGGCTTCAAATTCATGATGCGAAGCGGGCAGCAGGGGGTGGGGTAGTAAGTCAAGAGGCCTACACGAGATGTCCCGGTTCTTTAAGCGTGAACACTAGGAAAGCGGAGCATATAGGGCCGGAGCAAAAGCCCTACTTCATTAGTTTTAACAGGAGACAAAACCCACGCTTCAAGTGAATAAAATATCACTATGTCAATAAGACAATGACTCTTTCAAAATACGGTTTTTGGTATAATTTTAGGAAGGGGAGGAATGGCAGAACATTCTAGTAAGCCAGATACTTACAAGTTGTTTTTAAAAAGTGACTAAACAAAACAAAACAAAACAGAAAACCAACTAAACAAACCAGCTGGGCACTCTGACTACGGAAATGTGGCTACAGCCCAGGTACGAGAAGCCACCCTGCCCAACACCAGCCACACCGCAGCTCGGACCAAGCGCAGGAACACCCGGGACAAACAGCTGTCGGCTGGCGGCATGCTGAAGGATCTCCTCTCTTCAGTTTCGGAACTTCCTAATGCTCCTCTATAGTTTATGTAAAACACATTATCAAAGCACCCAAACCACGTAGAGAAAATAAGTCAGTCTAGGACCCACCAAAGGAGATTACTGACATGACAGCAAGCACCTCATGTTAACTTTGAATCATTCCTCCCTCCCAGCTAACGTTTCCTCACCCATGCAAACAAAAAGACTCGGACTGGATTAATTTAACGGAGGCTTCTCAGGATGCTGCCTGCACCTCCTGAGCAGGCCGGGTTACAGGAAGCGGGCAGCAGGCCAGCCCGGTGAGTCAGGGCTCTGCGGGCGCCGCTCCCACAGGACACTGCAGTGCGGCAGCGCAGCGGGCTCGGCAGGCACACCCGCTGACACAGCCCCAGACACGGACACGCCAGTGGGTCTTCCCCAAGTGCCTGCAAAAGCCCGCTCCTCTTGATGACAATAACTAATGGAAGCTGCTGTGAATCGCTCACAGCATACATTTTAGAATCATTCTTAAATGCCTGTCCCCATAAATACAGAGATTAAATGACGTCTGAGCATGTCTGATTCCCACAGAGTTAAAGAATCTATGACTGTTTCATAAACTACCATCCAATAACTTCATTCCCCTGGCTGCCTTCGTTCGCGCCACTCCCTGGTGGTCAGCACATGTCATAGTGAGCAGTTGAACTCCCGAGGGGACAAACTGCATATTAACCTTTTATTATATAGGAAACAAGTGTCTTTCCTAGAGGAGGAAAGATACTTGATAGTTAATTCTTAATAACAGGGGAGCTATTAATCCTGCTATATCTAGAAGCTTATATGCAAACACAAACTGTGGATTTATCAGGTAATGTCTGTCAGTAGAGTTTGAATCAGTTTCCTAGCGCTGCTGAGTATTACTGGTTAACACACAATGACCGACACGGCACTGCCAGTTACGACAGTCAGAGAGCCAAAGGACCAGGGTGTGCTGGGCCATAATGCCATTTCTGAGACTGCCAACGTTCTAGAGATGTTCAGAGCGTCATTTAGCCTTAATTTGTATGCTTTTATTGAAGGACTAGTTTACTTCAAACTATGAGTGATTTACTTTTTTTTATGTTTTTATTGATTTTTAGAAAGAAGAGAGACACATCATTGATCAGCTGCCTCCTGCACATCCCCTACTGGGGACTGAGCACCCAACCCAAGCACATGCCCTGACCAGGAATCAAACTCAAACCGATGACTTCTTAGGGCATGGGTCAACACTCAACCAGAGTCACTCTGGCTGGGCAAACTATGAGTGATTTATAACACTACACTGTGCATTAGGGGAGCATTATGCTGGTTTAATGAAATAGGAAAACGTGCACATTTGGTGACCTTAAAGACTCAGACTACCTCTCGTGGGTAGACAGGGATGATTCCACAGTTTGGTGGACAAATAGCTGAAAAGGGTTAAAGCAAGGTAAGCTGCTGAAGGAGGGCTGAGGCTGCCTGGCTCCCAGCACCCCTGGGCATTCCTGCATTCGTGCTTCCCTCCCAGCCTCCTCCAGCCACAGGACAAGGCTCTTTCCCAGGCTGAATGAAGCCAGTCCTTCTCTTTGGCCTATAGCAGTGGTCGGCAAACTCATCAGTCCACAGAGCCAAATATCAACAGTACAATGATAGGAATTTCTTTGGAGAGCCAAATTTTAAAAACTGAAACTTCTTCTAACGCCACTTCTTCAAAATAGACTCGCCCAGGCCGTGGTATTTTGTGGAAGAGCCACACTCAAGGGGCCAAAGAGCCGCATGTGGCTGGAGAGCCGCAGTTTGCCGACCACAGGTCTATACACACTACCAAGTTTCTTGTTACATGTTTCTGGTTCTCTGTCTTCCATCTCTGTTTTCCTTTAAAACAAAACCGTGCCAGCGCCCCGTGATTCTGTCCATCACACGTCTCGCCTTCGCCCAGGCGGCGGCTCTGGTGCTTTCTCATCACCTCAACAGCCCCCTCCGGCCTCCCGAGGGCTGAGGCTCCCCCGCCACAGCCCTCCTGGCTGCGGGACAGGGCGCAGGCCGGGGAGGAAGTCAGAAGCTCCTTCAGCCCGGAGCCTTCCTTCCCTTTGTGACTCTGTTAGGAACCTGGAGGGCTAACCCCCACATAATTCTTGTACGTAATGTAAAACTGGGACTCGTTTTGATATTTCCAGAAAAATAAAAGAGAAATAAAAAACTCAAAACTAGTAAGTTACTAATGCCTAAGGAATTTAAGATTTAATCTTTCTGTTTTGTTAATCCTCACCTGAGGATATTTTTCCCACTGATTTTTAGAAAGAGTAGGAGGGAGGGATGGAGAGGGTTGTGTGTGTGACAGACACACCCATTGTTTGCCTCCTACACATGCCCTGACTGGGACTGGGGATCAAACTGCAACCCAGGTACGGACCCTGGACTGGGAAATAAACCAGTGACCTCTCGGTGCATGGGCAGACATTAACCACTCAGCAACATCAGCCAGGGAAAGAAGAGAAAGTTTATTTAGAAAATTATAGAGGTAGCTGAAAACCGTCTGGCTCAGTGGATAGAGCATGGCCTGCAGACTAAAGGGTCCCAGGTTTGATTCCGGTCAAGGGCATTTATCTTGGTTGTGGGCACATCCCCAGTAGGGGGTGTGCAAGAGGCAGCTGATTGATGTTTCTAGCTTTCTATCCCTCTCTCTTCCTCTCTGTAAAAACTCAATCAAATATATTTTAAAAAGAAAAGGAAGTTACAGAGGTAGAAAAACTGGGCTGTAGAAGAAATGGGTTCAGGATACAAGTTACAGAAGCAAAAGAAGGGCCCTTGGAGCTTAGGGGAAAGAGCAAGAAAGACACACACACACACACACATACACACACACACACATACACGGAAAGCAACGCCCTGGGAGAGGGGAAAGGCACAGGTGGGAAGGAGAGTGGCAAGATTTAATATTTTTAAAAAATATATATTTTATTGATTTTTTACAGAGGAAGGGAGAGGAATAGAGCTAGAAACATCTACGAGAGAGAAACATCAATCAGCTGCCTCCTGCACCCCCTGACCCGCCCCCCCATGTGCCCGTAAACAATGTACATGCCCTTGACCGAAATCAAACCTGGGACCTTTCAGTCCACAGACCAACACTCTATCCACTGAGCCAAACCGGTTTCGGCAAGATTTAATATTTTTAAGTTAATATTAATTCAAAAGACATAAATGATATGAAATAAAGGAAAACAAACACTCCAATTTCAACTGGTACCAAGGGATTGAATTCTTTATTTTTTAATATGTTTTTATTGGTTTCAGAGAGGAAGGGAGAGGGAGAGGAAGAGAGATACAAACATCAATGATGAGAGACTCATCGATGGGCTGCCTCCTGTACGGTCCCCACCAGGGATCCAGCCTGCAACCCGGGCA